CACAGGCGTCTTGGCTTCTTCTTCTGAAGAATCGTCGTCGCCGGGCCGCGGATGGGGGCTTGCGGGCGTGACGTTGATACGCGCATAGTCGTATGGGAAGCCTTGTGCGACTTGTTGAGCTGCTTCGGGACTGGGCGTGCGCATGCTTCCCGGACTCCGCGGGCCGGCGGGTGCGCGGGACGGAGGCGGGGGGACGGCGAGTCCGTTGGCGTATGCGAGAGATGGGTGCGGCGGAGGGTGCGGGAGTGGGTGTGTCGGGTCTTGCCGTACCGCGGGTAGAAGTGGCGAGGGTGTGCGGGCTGCTATAGGTGCTGGAGAGGGCGAGCGCGAAGAGGACGATGCATCGCCGCGCGGTGGAGGCTCGAGATGTGGTACACCGTACTCGTCGTACACGAGTTGCTGTAGACGTAATAAGCATGAATATACTGCTCTCTCGATCATAACCAAACAAGAACTCACCGATCGATCAACCCTAACATCCAGCTTACTGATCTCCTCCGCCTCCCTCTCAATACCAACGCGCTCTAGATCCTCATACACGCGTAAAACGCTGACGAGAACCTCGTTCGCCTCGAGTAAAGCAGCAAGAAGCTGCTCTTCGATCGTCAACTCCGTAGGCGGCGTGACGTTTGTGACCTGTAAGCTTCCCGGAGCAGGGACATGCTTCACAGTCGCCGCTTCCTCAGCCTCAAGCCGCGCCTGTCGACTCCTGTCCGCACCAGCCGATGCCCACGGAATCTGCGCCAGAATGAGCTCCTGACTATTCCGACATTTATCGTGGAATTCCTGCAAACAAACAAACAAACTTCAGCATATGTTCTATCGCCGATAAATCTAGAATAAACGCAAAACTCACTCGGATAACAGAGTCTTCCAGATCTTCCGGTCTCGCAAACGCCAGCGCCTCGCTGAGCAACGTAGCGTTCCCATGCGCGAACTTGCACTCCTGGAACAGCCTCCGGATATCCTCGTCGGGCGGTATGATCCTGTTCTTTCCTTCCCGCTTTCTTTCCGAGTGCGACGAGTGCTCTCGCGCGGGGAGGTCTGGCCGCTGATGCGAGTGTTTCTGCTTGAGCTGCTGAAACGGAGAAGAACGGAAATCAGATACTGTGTATGACAGATGGAGATAGAGAAAGGAAGCGGAAAGAACGTACTGGAGGCTTGGGACTGCCTTCCTTGCCGACTGACAGCTCCTTCGAAGACACCCGCGGACTTTCATCCACACTCGGCCGCAAGCTCGGCGTTAACGCACCTGTATCCGCAAACGAATTAGCTCCTCAAGAAGTACGCAAAGAACGAAACCAGAAGATCTACAGATCGCGAAGGTCCATGGACGGTCACGTACCCTGCGATAGCGCCTGATTTGGCGGCGTAGTCTGATTCGAGCCGGGAAGGACCATCGACCGTCGGACGGTCGGCTGTGGCGGTAGGAACATCGCGTCATCGTTATCGAATGGATATCCCTGAACACATGCAGAACTTTGTCAGCCAAAGAAGTGCGTACAGTCCACTCCGAAAGCGAGAAAGACGCGAACCTCATCCGGTTTTCCTGGCGGCTTAAGCTTCTTCCACAACGATCTGAACCCATCGTGCTTGCTCTCCTTGCCATCCGGACCTGCGTCCGCGCATCAGCCGTATGATCCTACAAGCCTCGTATCTGCGAGGAATCACGAAGGCGAGATGAAGACGTACGGGGTTGACTCGCATATGCAGCCGCAGCCAGAACGTCCAGTAGCCGCTCCTTAACGACCGGACTTGTCGAGCCCTTCGTAAGCACGTCCTCCAGCGCATCCAGGAATTTACGCGACATGCATTGCTGTACGAAGGTGTCCGATGCGTTGCGCAGCATTATTGCCCATAGCTGTTTGTTGGTCGTGAGGCGAGGAGTTGGGTGGCGTGCGCGGCGTGCGAGATATCAGGGAGCAGGACGACGAGAGACGGAGGAATACAACATATTGTCAGTTTGATTGGGGCAATTCATTGAGGTAATGAACGCACCCTCGCTGCTGAGAGTTGTTGCGGGACTTCGCCATATCTGGTAAATGAAGGAAAACGTCAGCATTCAATTCACCCATTGCGCATAATCTGAGAAAAATAAGAATAAAGTCGGTATCGCGCAGATCCTGCATACCAGAAGCACCAAGGTTCATTCCAGCAGCTGCGCCAAGCTTGAATCCAGATGTGCACTTGTCGTGCTCGAGAAATACGTGAATGATCTCCGAAAGGCTCTCCTAATACATCCCCTTACGGCGGAGGTGATCCTCCGCGATCGAGAGGGCGTGGTGATGCGCATCACGTCCATTCGCGTGCGGTTGTATATGACTCGAAAAGACCGCGAGGGACAACGTATAGATGCCATCCGATATGTGCGGAAACAGGGAACAAAGTGCGCCTTCGGTCCGAGTGACAATGGGTGTTTCACGAGAGCTGATGAATGCCCAAATTCAGGAGAGGTCGTGGCCGAAGTAGGTTGAAGGCGAAGCCGTTGAACAGATGGAGAGCGCGAGAGAGCGGAGCCAGTGTCGCACCGTTGTAGTCGATAGATGTGACGGTGCGCACGAGATCAGCAGTCCGAGAAGCGCGACGATGCAGGGCCGGAAGCGCGCGCCTGGTCGTTCCAACAATATCCGCGCCTCTCCATCCCATCCCAAGACGCCCCGCAGGTGTCCATATTCAGAGTTGAGCTCCACAGGCAAAGTTGCCCAAGGATCCAAGCGAACAGAAACTAGAGCCAGGAGATGAACGTACTTGAATTCCCGTCGAAGGGCCTTCGCGGCTTCTTTGGCGTTGGCTTCGCTCGCGCTGGCCTTTTCGCATAGATCGAGCACGACCACAAAGTCCTCCGCGTTCTTCGCCGTAAGATAGCCTAGTAGACCCAGTGTTAGCTAGTGTCCTCTGATGTAGCAGCTCGCCACCGTAGAGATGTACGGACCGATCATGCGCATGATATCGTCATGTTGAGCGTGCTGCTCCGCGCGCTTATCCTGCGCCCAGCCCCAGAAGCCGCCCTTCTGTCCCTGGGAGTGCTGGTGCTGTGCCGGCGGGTGCTCGTGCGCGAGACTGTCGCGGTCTGTCTCGCGGTGCTGCACGAACTGCGGGTCGAGGCTCTTCAGTATATTCACGGCAGCTGCCGCGTTGGCCTTCGGTGGTGGGAGCGGGCTGGCCGTGCGCTGGGTGCCATGGGACTGCTCGCGTGGCGGATGTTGCTGCTGCTGTTGCGCGATCGAGGCGAGCGAGGACGAGCGCGAAGTCGGCGGCTGGGGCTGCACCAGCACCGCGTCGGACGGAACGTGCTCCCATCCTTGTCGGTCGTCGTCAGAGTCCGCGGCAGTGCTAATCGTACGCGCCCTGGCCGCATAGATCGGTGTGTTCGCCGCCGCCGACGCTGCCTGTGGCTACACACCCGCGATTCAGAAGGGGCGAAATCATCCGGGGTATATCCAGTACACACCTCGTACACCGAGCGCTCAGACTCTCCGCGAGCCTTCTGTAATTTATTCCCGCTTTTGTCGCGGGCGAATAGTTTCTTCATCGCCGTTAACGGCGAGGACGAGCTAGGGCGGAGGTCAGCGCCGCGCGAGTAGCGGCGGTGCACAGCCACGTGCTGCCCCTTGTCTTACTGACTTTAATATTCCTCCGTGGCTGCGCATACACCTTGCCTTACGGCCGCCACCTTCCCCGCCGCCTCTGCTATATCTTTGAGCACGTAAATAAGTCCAACTGCGACGAGGATCTACGCTACGATTACTTCGCCGACGCTTCTTCCTTACTTCAACGTCTGCCTTGCGCCCCATGTCAATCAAAGTGCGGATATGTCTACCTCCGCACTTTGATCCCCTCCGCATCAAGATCTGCACATGGGGAACCCGCTTCCTCGTACGACAGAGACGACGCTACTATACGTCCATCACTCCACCTCCGTACTGGCAGCCACTCGACTATACGTCGTCGTCTGTGTATGTCGCGCGTTGTTCAAGCTCGCGACGTCATTGCTGCTTTCCCCGACCCGCGTCGGGCCCGAGGTACTTTGCCGCCCGTTCGGCAACTTGCGGTTCTGTCGTCACCCCGCATTTACGACCGCGTTTTCCTACCTACGGTTCAAGCTGTTCTCAACAATGAAATGCCTTGGTGTTTAACCACTCAATAAGCCTCGGGTCGCGTGCACAAGCCCGCAGCCAGGCCAGTTCAGTATCACCGAGTGTCGCGGTCGATGTCCATGAGCCGAGCACCTCGTCCTTCGTTCGCGATGACGAGTCCTCCGTGCCCTCGCCTCAGCTGTTCATGCATACATTAGCAGCCGTGCAACGAACCCCACGTTTCTGCCTCAACGCTTCAGCGTTTGCTGCTCGTATACGCAAGCCGAAAGTCGCCTTTAGCTTGCAAAACCGCGCGCGGCGGGTCCGTGTCGAAGCAACTTGCAGAGATCTAGTCCAGCCTCGCGAACCCAAAGCAAAACCGGAGCGTCGCCTGCTTTTCCAAGATGTACGCACCGCCGAAGCTTGCTCGTGGTTACGGTGTACGCGTCCTTGCCCCGCATGATCATTACTCTTCAGTCATCCGATCCTTTTGCTAAGCCTTTACGTAGAAAGATGGTCTGTGGCCACGAAGAGCCTCTGACGCTGTGGCTGATGGATAGGCGTTGAAGACGCGAGATAAAACATAGTTTTGTACAACACCAAGAATGGCCTTACGGCTCGTGTATCATTTGGATGTGTCTAGGAGTATGGTACAAGTACGATTGACGAGAATGGTACTCATATACTGCGCGCAACCTCTGCAAGATCTTCTCTACAAGCACGATCATTCTGACTCGGACGTAGATTCAGCTGCAATGGAGTACAGGTCAGACATCGAGAGAGGTATGCGGGACTGTGAGACGTACCTGACGAATCAGACTCATCATAATCAGACTCATCATCTTGCAGCCAGACAACGTTCGGGACGATGCTCTTGATCGTCGCGGCGTGCACCCCTTCGGGCGTGTTCGGAGATGGTTCAGCTGCATTGAAAAGCACGGTGTGCAGTTTGTTGGCGGGATGAGAGGCGCGGCGTCGGAGTACGCCCGCTATGTCACCAAGAAGGGAAGTCAGATACGCGGAAGCTGCATCGGCATTCTCGAAGGGTGCGGTATTAAGCTCGATCCATAACCGTTCAAGATGCGGGAAGATAATGGTTTGGTCGGACAGCTCTGAAGCCAGCCGACTAAGAACACCGTTCATCCAGAGCGTCCCATGATCAGGATAATCGACATATATAATACGAATATTGGGAAGAACCCAACTGAGTTCATCCATAGTATGACTGGACAGAGAAATGTCGCTATACTCAGCGAAAGAAAGCGCGATGGTTCGAGCGAGGACGGTGCCCGGGTCATGTTTTTCGATACACTGGAGCGCCTTCAGATCGACATGTCCGTCGGGAATCGCTATCTTGATCCTCCAGTTGAATTGCTCCCAGTCCAAGTCGGAGTCTCCATCTAGTCCATCTAGCAGGAGATTACCGGCTGAAAGAGCGCCCTCTGCGAATCCCCAAACGAGCGAGTCTTCACTTGTGAATACTCCATCACAAGCAAGGGTGATGATTTGAGACATATCACAATAGCCTTGGTCACGATCGTCATCGTTGAAGGCGTGGGAGAGCATAAGGCGTGTATTATGCGGAAAATGCAGCGATTCAAGGAACCAGATGACAATCATGTTGTCGGTATCACTGTCGTCGCATCGTTCGCATTGGAATTCCTGCAGTTTGGGCAATTGAATACGGCTCTCGATCTCCCTGCCAAAGCAGAGATCGTCCGTATTCCACTTGCATAGGTAGAATGAGACGTGTTCAAGGAGAGGGGCGTGTTTGAGTATGTTGAAGATCTCCGAGATTAATAGACCTGAAAGCTGCGCAAAGACCAAGGAACCGAGGCATGAAAGGTGTGGCGGAAATGGAAGGAACCATTTTTTCAGGGTACTATCTTCGTGCCCGGATTCGCTATCTTCGAGCTCGGATTCGCTATCTTCGTGCCAGGATTCGAGTCTCATGGTTGCAGTAGTAGTGTCATATCCGCTTCGCGGGTCAATCCCGCGCATGCGAAAGCAGACTGCCCGCCAATGCGTGCATACATGGCTGAAAGAAAGCCATCCAAGGGACCCTCCTTCCTCGTAACAGTCGACGCCACCAGACAGTTCCCATGAGGGGCTGTCCCCGATGACGAAGTCGAGAATCATGTTGAAGATTTCGAGTGGGAGAGAGCACACCGGCGTGCATGCGTTGGCGAGCCTCCGTAGCTCGTACACGACGTTGAGGAGAGCCTCCGAGTCGGATTGTAACCGCCCAAGTACGTCGACGCGCTGCTCAAGAGACCCCCGCGAGAGCACGTCGTAACATAGTTCCTGCAACCGTTGCGCCTGGATCTGGGAGGCCCATTCGGAGGACAGCTTTGTCATTACGTCAGGACTGAACTTCTCGTATCTGTATAGAAACGCACTTCTGAAGGCCCAGTCATTAGTTTGATACAAGATCAGAGGGATAGTCTTGAGACGCGGATAAGAATGATGGACGACGCGAGCAAGCTGCAACGCCTCGTTTAGCGCTCGTGCGTCGCGTGCTGCACACGAGTCCTTCACTCCCACGACCATGCTACTGGCACCCGTACACTCTTAGACGAGAGGTTCACAGCCCGAGATGATCTATACAGTACATATCTCGCACACATATGATCCTGGCGTATCGCAAGAAGTATATCTAGAAGTAGAACACAACTGCTCTGCTGCGCGGACTCAAGAAGCGAGCTCATCCGTCCGCCAAACCACAACGGGTACAATCTCCTCGATGGCGCTAGCGTGCACAACATCCTTCGATCGCTTGGTGGGCCGTGGTACGTCGAGGTGAACGTATTGCAGCTTATTCCCATGGTGAGCGAGACGCCGCCGCAGTAGCTCGGCGATCGCGTCCAGGCGCAAGGACCCGCGCGGAAGACGGGCCGGTATGACCGACAGCTGTTGGAGCTGGGGAAAGATGATCTCGTCGTTGACGGTATCGGCGAGGCGTGGAAAGAGTCCGAGGGGCTGGTGATGCTCATAGGCGGGCGCTCTGACGTGCAGGAACTCGATGTGACGAAGGTGACGGCCAAGAGAGTCGACCTCTTGGCTACCAATCCACATCTCCTTGTCGCACAACGAAGAGAAAAGTCGGATGCGTGCGAGAACTTGCAGATTCTGGGAATCCTCTAGGGCCATGAAGACGAATGAGATCTGAGGGGTCTCGAGTTTGACTTGCTGGTTTACGACCTCGCGTGACATCGGCTCCTCGATCACGTCGAGGGTAAGCGAGAGTCGATCGACACCCAGGGAAAGAGACTGGTCAGACGACCACAGTCGCTCGACGGTGGATCTCACGAGTCGACCAAGATGTCTGCCGTTGTCGGTTGGGCTGTCGTATTGAAGATGGTGCGTTAGTTGGAGGTTCACGGTAGTGGGAGCCAGAATATGTTCGAAGAACCATTCAGATGGGTCGAAAGAGATATGTTGAAAGCTGGAGCTAGTGATTCGAAGACGTCGTAGTTGTCTGAGCGTGACCTCAAAGTTTGTTTGTGGCTTGTACATCTCCCATCCACAGTCCCTTAACTCGACGATTTCCAACGAAGGCGCATGGGCGAGGATAGCCATGATGTCGACGACTTCGACATGCTTGACGTCGGATATGCGGAGCTTCTTAAGTCCTCGCAGGATAGTTATACAAGGAACGATAGCAGCCCAAGTCTGGACTCTTCGAAGACTGTCCAGTACGACGGTACCTGAGATGAGCTTCGGGAGGGACGGCACTGCCTGATGCGTTGAAGCCGTAGCTTTGACAAGGCATATGTCACGCCAGCGATGGCAAACCTGACTGACTCTGAGATACCCGAGCTCTTTCTCTTCGATAAACCCGCCTTGGACTTGCCACACGGCGGGCTCCATTCTGGCAAGATGCGCGATGATATGGAGTAGGAGCTCAGTTGGCAGGGAGTGGATGGTTGAGGTAGCGTTTGCGAGGCGTTGCAAATCGTGAGCGACATGCAGGAGTTCCATAGAGTCGGAGAACAACTGCGACGTAAGATACGCGCGTTGTTGAGGGCTCCCTCGGGATAATGACTCGTGGCGCAACTCGCGAAGCCGATCTGCCTTGAGATGCGAAGCCCATGCAGTTGCAGACTAGTATAGATGTTACTTCCCGTCCTTGTTACCCTAAGGATGAAGCGCACCGGTGGCGAATCGCTCATCGTCGTGGTTGGAAGAGGAGGATAGGACGCGAAATCAAGTTGCGTCGAGCGCGTCGGGCCGCTCCCCGCCGCGGCGCGCGGTCACCTGGTCGACGCGTCTTGCCTCCGGCCGCCATCATGTCCACCGGCGATCCCTGGTCCTTCTCTCTTCGCAATTCACTCTCTTGGGACGACGAATCCCCACAAGGCTCTCCAACTCCGCTCAACCCATCTTCGTCGCAAAAGTCCGAGGACGACGCGCGAATACCTCCGCCCAACCCGTTCTCCATCGCCAAGGTCAACGCCGCCATTCGTGATGCCAATCAGCCCACACTCCCTCCGCAGTCATCCAGAACCAACAAACCCAACATTCTACCGCAAAAAGGGGTACTAGCGCTTGTTCGTAAGCAAGCCGACGTTCAGGATGCAAAGCGCGCACGTGGATTCCGACCATCGGGAAATCCTACACGCAAGGCGTCAACCACCAAGGAAAACGCACCCGAGGGTAGAAACGTTGGAAAGGGACTTGCAAAGGACGCATCTACGATTTTAGCTGCCAACGCAGCTCCCGTAAATGCGCATACAACCAAGTTCTCGCCGAAATCCATAGCACCCCACTCTCGCTCTCTTCTCAATCCAACGGCTGCCTTGACTTCACCACCTTCTGCCCTCAACATCGAGTCTCCCCATCGGTCTCTAGAACATAGCTCATCGGGCTTCAACACCACGATTTCGACCACTCGTTCACGTATTGATGCCATCTTCTCGCCTCGTCGGACAGGATTACCTTTCTCACAATCGTCCCGGGAAACCGTCACGGCCAGGGCAACTGGTGCACAGAAGCCTGCTGTTTCTCTTGCGCATCCTACCTCTTCTACTCCTGGATCCCAATATATAAAACCGACGACGTCGGGCGGATCCTCTCTGCCTAGTTCGGCGAACTCTGACGGCCCATCGAGGACTCTTGCTCCTCATCCGGTGCGGCCCGGCCGCTTCTCCTCGCCTCTCATGTCACGTCAACACGGCGCACCTACCGCTCCCGCTTCATCTATTCCAGTCGCTGGTGTGAACACGGGGTCAGACAAATTTAGACATGAAGTCTCTCATTCCGTATCTCGTGACGACTACTCGGATCGCCGTGCAGACCAAACGTCGGGTGCTCATCTGGTCTCGAAAGGTCGTTGCCTAGTTGCCTCTTCTCCCGTTGGTGTGAATACAGCAGTTCCTGGGACCAGTGTTGGCTCCAATTCCGGTTATGCACGCGACTCTGCCTCTTTTGATCTAGGAAAGGCGCGCGCTCAAACCCTTTCTCCGCGACAGCGCCCTGGGAACACCGCACCTCCCCCGCGCAAGCGACTCAGACCCTGTATGCCCCTTCACCAGCGCACGCTGACGCCGCTCTCTAACGTGGTCTATCCTCACAGCCCCACACGGTCACGAAGATGCATCAGGACATGCGGCATCGTACTCTGAAGAGGACTTTCATGCTCATCTGGACTCTGATCGCGCACTTACGCGATCTGACCTCGCATACACCAACGCCCACGATGCAAGAGAGCTCGATGGCTCATACTCGGACCACGACACCCTGCCAGGGCACTCCTTCGCCGTTGACCCAAGGAATGCGTATGACTCTAGGAGCGCTATGGACACTATTCAGGACGCCGAACTTTCCGCGGAGGCTACTCAAGTAGATCCCGGACTGCAGGCGCTCGACGATCCGATGGGGTATGATCTTCATGAGGCCCCATCCTCCACAACATTGTACTCCCAGCTTCACGAAGATGAGCCCGGATACTCTTATGCGCCGAGTCACGATCTAGGCGATGATATGCACGACTTCTCGTCAGATCTCAGTATGAGCAGTCTGCAAGTCTTGCCGCCCAGTGTCGACGCTCTCGGTCCTGTTCAGTTCTTCAGTTACGGGCCCGCTCGCGATGAGGGTCATGCCGAATGGTTACCACCGTCGCGCGACTACCCAGTCGAAGACAGGGTGGTATACGACGAAGACGATCGTGAGCCAGCGCCCGGGAGTGCTCGCGCTTACCGCGCAACTGGGCAGCGGCGCCTCTCCTCGCCCCTTCCGACACTCCATTCTTCGACTAAGCGCGGACGCTGTACGTATTCAGCCGATGCGCTGCGCATACATCTAACCTTCCTTGTAGCTCCGTCTATGTCGCTATCACCATCACCCCCGCCGAAGAGACGCGCGCCTGCTTCCAAACCCCATCCACAAGCGCAGAACCTGTCCGCATACGCGCATCCAGCCTTTGCGACCGATCCTGACGCAGGCTGGTCGACGCTACCTCCGCGGGCTAGTGCCAAGTCGACGTCGAAACTGAAGTCGAAGGGCGGCAAGTTCACAATCCCTCTCGGGCGCCTGCTCGGTGGCGGGTCCGCGAACGCGGAGAAGGTGCGGGCGAAGGAGGTCGAGGCGTGGAAGAGGGACAAGGAGGACGTGCAAAGTCGGGAAAGGGGAAGGAATGTGGAGAGAGATGTGGCGAGTGCTCGGAGAGTGACGGTGTACCGTCCCCCACCGCGCAAGTAGACTGCGTCGTCTGGAAATATGTCTCTGGTATGCTTTGAACGTTGGACGTTGCGATTCTTGGACGCTTTGTGCTCTGCTTTCTGTATCTTGTACGCTCGTGCCGTGCCGTTCGTTGACCATATTGTGTATTTGTACTCCTCAGTGTACTCCTCAGTCTTGTACGCTCTGCACACTCACAGTTATCTCATTCGTCCGTGGGTCCCAGACCCTGACATGACAAAGCGTCTGACTGAAGCTTAGGCTGCATGGATGACATGGCAAGAAGAGCAGAGTTCTGTTACGCAGCGACAGAACCTGTCCCTATCGTTGATAAATCCGGTATTCCGTACTGTCAACATCTCCTCACAGGCGCTGGTGCGGAATTGGACCATAAAAAGTACAGGATACCCTCCTGCGAACGATCAGAGCTCAGCATCACTCTCTATACACTGATCTTGGAGTATCAACGTCAAAATGTAACCTCTTCGATGGGTGAATGCGTATGGTGCAGGGTCGCGGTTGTTCAGGACACGGCGACGCGCGCTCCGCGGCACGCGCACAACCCGCGCATCATCTAGTCTCGTTTCCATACGTTTAAGAGCAGGCTACAGGCACTACCAGCTGCTAGGGCGCGGCTGTTCGGAATGGCCCGACGGATCGCGTGGGCGGCTGTTGCTCATTGGGTGATGGGAACTCGCTCGCGTGCGCGTTGAAGATCGGGGAAAGATCTGAAAGGAGGTTGTTGCGTGCCTGTAGAGCCTGCTCTTAAACGTCTGGGGCAGTTCGATAGGCGGCACCCACGTCGGTGACATCGGGGGATCGGTCCGCTCTCCGGTGTGACCATCCCCTACCTTGTCTCCGCGATGAGCAGCGCTCGCGACTACTCAGAGCTTGCAGATGTCGGCGCGTAGCGCCGGCGAATATGCGACGGCGAGGGCCGAGCGGAGCGAGGTCCTCGCCGTCGCACGAAGATAGACATGCGGCGCGGCGCGGCGCGAAGCGCCGCGACGCCGCCGCTGTGGACCGGCTTCTCGTTCAACTAGCATTGGCTGTCTTTGCAACCTATGTATGGATTGTATACGTGAGTGTGCACAGTGAGCGAAGATGAATATGCGTCGCGGCGCGGCCCGAAGGGCCGCGACGCGACTTGGTTGGCTGGTCGTCTTTGTGCTTGTGCTCTGCTGGATAATTAGACCGGTAAGATACGTTGGCGCCCATGTACCAAGGTATCTGAGGCATAATTTAAGGTGTGACTCGTGCCGATAGGTATAGAGGCGAATATCCCCTGCAAGCTTTGCGTCGCGGCCCTTCGGGCCGCGCCGCGCCGCATATTCATCTTCGCGGTGGTACATAACAACTACAGTACTGTGCAGCAACACGGCACTCAGGGGAGGTCCCTCGCTGTATTATTACCAGTGTGTCTTCGTCGTAGCGTCGCGACGCGTATTCATCTACGTGCTGGCTACCTCAAATATCCACAACCTTCATACAGAGACTTCAGCACCTCAGATACAGCAAGTAATCCCTCAGCGGTGCGTCGCGGCCCTTCGGGCCGCGCCGCGCCGCATGTTCATCTTCGTGCGCCGCCGAGGTCCTCGCTCCGCTCGGCCCTCGGCGTCGCACCGCTCTCGACGAGGCGGCGGGGACGGTGTCACAGCGCGTCACCTTGTCACCGACGTGGGGTCCGCCGGTCGAAATGCCCCAGACGTTACACAGCTCGTCTGCGCCCTGTCTTCTCCGGTCTTTCTCCGTTTTCTTCCGGTGAGATCTCTCGCGTGGCGTTGCCGTGGGTCCGGTGATCGCAGGCGAGCTGTGTAACGTCTGGTTTCGAGACTAGCGCATCATCCCGCTCGCGTCGCCGGTTGGCTCTCGCCATCTCGCTGCTTCCACGCCTTCCGAACTTCCGCGCCTTTTCGCCACCTGAAACTATCGCGCAGTACACAGGACCCTCAGACAATGTTACTATTGGTGGACCTTGTAAGACCGCGATCAAAGCGATGCGTGCAATGTATTTCCGGAGACAACTACAGGGCTGTGCACGATACATTGCTGTAGATCACCACATGCGGCAAACCGTCCGGGCTAGTGACGCGTGTTCATATGATGCACGATCTCCTTGAGGAAACATACGTCTTATCCGCCGTACGACTGTACCCGTACGACGCGGCGCAGCCTGCGAGGTTTGTGAGGGAGAGAACACGGGCCGTAGGTGGCCGTATCTGTACTGCGAGGAATACCGCGCTCACGATCTGTCTGTCAGCGTGAATCTGTTCCGACCAAAGAGGAACTTTCGATCATGTCTGAATAGCACGCGCGCGGGCCCATCTGCGACCGAATGATGCATCGCTGCAGGGCGGTGATGATGGGAGCCTATCCGCTGATGCGCTGGCACACGGCTGAGCCTATATAGACCCCTCCTCCTCCTCTCCCAAATCCTCATCATTTTCGGTCTCCTCTGAGTTCCGGCGTCTGTGTCTTTCTTTCTTCTCTTCTTTTTATCTCTATTTTTCTTCTTCTACCAACCCTTTTACTTCTTTTCACGACACAATGTTCTCTATTGCTGCCTTCGCTTCTCTCCTTGCCCTTGCCGGCTCTTCGCTCGCTCAGGAGGGCGCCGCTCCTCCCGCTTCGGTCGCCCAGCTTGTTGCTCAGCTCCGCGAGGCACCCACCGAGGTTGACCGCTTTGCTCTCATCGAGGATGATCAGTTCCTCTTCGACTTCGTCAACCCCAACACCACGGTTGGTGTCACGAACGGCGCCGGTGGCCACACTGTCGCCGCGACGTCGGAGAACTTCCCCGCCGTTGTCGGTAACGGTGTCTCCATGAGTATGTCCTGTTCTCTGGTTGCGATACTTCCATGTCCTGACATGAATCTGCAGCTATCGGTTTCCTCGGTCCCTGCGGCATGAACTCGCCCCACACCCACCCTCGTGCTACCGAGATCAACTTCTCGATCAACACCACGCTTCGCGGCGGTGTGTTGGTCGAGAACGGTGCGCGCTTCGCCGAGATCGACATCCGCCCTGGCACCGCGACCGTCTTCCCGCAGGGTGCCATCCACTTCGAGATGAACCCCAGCTGTGAGGATGCTATGTTCGTCGCCGGTACGTTTTCAAGCTCTGTTCCAAACTCAGACCGATACTTATAAAACCCCTTCAGGCTTCAACGGCGAGGACCCTGGTGTCCAGCAGGTTGCTCAGCGCTTCTTCGGTCTTCCCCCGGACATCGTCGGTGCCGCTCTCGGTGGCCTCGGTGTTCAGGAGGTTGCCGACCTCGAGGCGTACATTCCCGACAACGTCATCCTCGGTGTCGATGAGTGCCTGCAGCGCTGCGGCATCACCCGTACCCCCCAGGGTAACGCCCAGCGCCAGCCGCGCGTGTCCGCCAACGCGTTCCCTTCGTCTGTGGTTCCGTCGAACGTCTACAGCCTTGCGGGTGTTGCCTCTGCCACCTCGGCCCCCGCATCCGCTTCGGAGACTTCGTCGTCCGCTGCTGCCTCTTCGACCCCGGAGGGCATCAGCAGCGGACCTCGCCGCCGCACCGTCGTTGAGCAGCGTGCTCCTGAATTCACTCAGATCTCGCTCCGGTAATTGGTTTGGTTCGTAGGAGGGCTTGCATTCATTGTGTTTTGATACGATTTGCTACGACACCGTTCTGGATTGCTGGATTTTACTTTACTCAGAGGAATACTACTTTCAACGCCATAACCTGTGTGATGCCCCAACGCTTGAGCCGAGTATTTACAAGTGTTCGAAAGTTCGAGCTCTTGTCCATTGACGCGAGCGGCCGTGGTACAACGCTGGGCTCATCTTGAAGAGCTGTGGGTGCATTGGTCACACGCACAATCAACGAGCATATTGCCCGCTGACAACATACTAAACGGAAGACAGACATGTGCTCATGCTAAATCTGCGTTGACTAGTGTTTAACGGGGCTATCGGTCATACATACCATCGTTGTCGAGCCAAGCGTCAAGGCGCTCGGCAGCTTGCATGCAATTGGGTCAGTATTCCGACCATAACAACACAAAGCAGTCGCGCTTTCGACATGTCTCCAGGTCGCACGCGTGGGTATCTGCAGGCAACTTCTCGTGCGCTGAACAGGAGCGTGATCGGCCCTTCGCAGACTCGTCTTCACCATAGGCGCGCGAACCATAGGACGTTGAGTTCCGAGTCGTCGATGTCACTGATTGAATGAATGCAACAGGAAACACCAAACCACTGAGCGCATCCGCTCGAGTATACGACACTATACTATATAGGCTTGCTCGTCTTATATCAGTACAGCTCGCCAATTGAGGTTCATCCTCAACCTGATCACTCGCTGAGAATCTTCGCAGTAAATCACGATATATTATAACCATAACCCAAACCCGTACAAAACCCAAGAGATAGGAACCATGACCGACTCTATATACCAGTAAGACCCGAAAGACCGAGAACCCTAGCATTGGCCCACGCTTGACGAGAGGAAATAGAGACCCTGGAGTGTGTACTGAGCATTTACGAGGGGGGACTGAGGAAGAGCCTTCGTTAGTGAGAGTGGAGTGAAGGGTATGACATAGAACGTACACAGGGGCAACCGAGGTGACGGGGCCGGGGTCGGTGCGGAGCGTCGGGAAGGGAGTAGCCTGGCATGCCTGCTGGACGTCGCGCTTGGAGAAGCCAGCGGGGAATGTCGCGGCCTTGGTGAACTTCTTCGGGACGGGGATGACATCCGAGCAGTCAATGAGGTCGCGCTGCAGAGATCATCAGCATCACGCTAAGGAGATGATACTATGAAGACAGTCGTACCGGGTTCGAACCAAGAACGGTGAGCTTAGCCATAGCAGCCGCGAACGAGGACATCATGTGCTGTTGGTTGTTGACGTTCGCTTGCCAGAGGCAGGCAGTGCGCGGGTCACGCGCAAGCTCGCCGTCGGACTGGAGACGAATCTCGCCGTGCAGAGGGGACAGGACCTCGCCGGGGTTCGAGCCGTTACCAGGGAACAGCGTGCCTTTGAGCTGAGTCTCGACGAAGAACTGCGTGTCGAAGGTGAACGGCGTCGAGTCGAAAGGAGTGCCGGGGATGGTAGGGTCAATCTGGGGTGTTCTCGACATGAGACCGGCATTCTCAGACGGAGATAGTATGAGCTGAACGAACCTCGTCGGCTGCAGCGACGGTGTGGGATGCGAGGAGCGCAACGACCTCAGCGGGAGTGAAGCCTCCGGCATCCTCGAAGCGGGCCAGGATCTTGTCGACCGAATCGAATGGCTCCGGGACAGTCAAGTCCGCAGCGGGGTGCGTAGCGTCCTTGCGACCGAGCAGGAACTGAAGGCGAGGAGCACCAGGACAGTTGGAAACACCGACCGCGCCGGCAAACTGGATGAAGTCGGCGGTGGAGATCGTCTTGTGCTTTGCGATGAAGGGCTTCTGCTCGCCCACGATCTCGTCCGTACCGATATTCGCGTGGAAGTTAGTCTCAATGGTGTCAAAGATAACGAAGGATCCGTCCGCGCCACCACTGTAGAAGTGAAGGGTGAGTCTTGAGGGAGGAGGGGAGGGTAAAGAAACGAGCTTACCCGACGGACGCGTTGGCCCGGGAGATGCCGATCGCGTCGTGGAATGTAAGACGGAGAGACTCGTGTACCTCTTCACCGCACTCGCCACCGTCAAAGAGGTTGGTCTGGATGTCGTCGAGGATGGGGAAGAGCACGCAGCACGCCGCGTGAGCGGTAACGTTGCCGTCGGCGCAGGTAACGCGCTTGGTGAGGGCCGCTACATGAAACATGAGACTGAATGCATGTTGCTCGTACATATAAAGTACTTACCGCTCGCAACGGTGGCGAGGGTAGCGATGGCTGCAAGCTTGGTGAAGGACATGTCGAAGATGCGGAAGGTCGAGGAGGTAAGACCGAGGAGAGGAAGGCGACAGAAGACCGTTGAAGCCTGGCATTCCTCGTCTTGCCTCTGGCACGTTTTATACACCAGCAGCCAGCGCCACAGGCCTCAGCTCAACAGCACGTCTTCACGCACAAAGGAGGCGGTGCCTCGAAATGTCTACGCCAAGCCGAGAGGTAGGATGCGACGAGCCAATAGGCGAGACGAGGTTTCCCTTCGGTGTGCGAGAAACCGATGTATACGCTGTCCCAGTCTGGCGTAAGACCATTCCGTTGTTGCGGGTCGAGGCGATGGACTCGAGCACTGCCGGCGTGTACGCATGCAGGGCACGTACAAGGATCGATGTCCGTCGCGCGTCTGTGAGAACATGAATAAGCGCATCGCACATCAGTGAGAGCGAATATTGTCGAAACTCGGCTCTTGACAGATGGACCCGACCGAGAACGCCGATCGAGAGTACGAATACTGTTGTCGAAGAGTTCGCCGCGCAGAATGTGCAAGGAAGGCATAGTTCGCGACGACGGGGCAAACAGACGACTCTCCAAGCCGACAACCACGGAAGACAAGGAGAGACGAAGGCCGCTTGTCCTACGGGCAAAAGATAGCCGGCATCCGAGCGGAGGATCCAAGCGAGCGGTATAGTTGATAGAGGTGTCAGAGAGAAGCGTCGGAGCTGCCCATCTACATTCTTCCCAGCAGGTTCAGCGTACGATGCGAGTCGGATCCTGCTAGCATCAGCACCAATAGTACTCTCCTATGGGTAGATGCAATAGCAAACAGAGCAACTGTACATGGACACCTCATGTCTATGAATAGAATTTGAATATGGTGGATGGGACACATCAACTGAAATGAGCGCTCGAGCAGTGTGGCGCAGCACTCGGGAGCCGTAGTCAGGGATGCCGGTGTCGACAGTACATCATCTGTCAAGAGAAGACATGAGAGCTACCAAATGCCCAACGAGAGGGAAGGGCAAGTTCGCAAGCAAGTACCGGCGTACCATCCCCTTGGTACTTATAGGTGAGAATAAACGCGTGTCCACCTCAAGGCGCGCTCGATGACAAAATGACGACGGTGGGACCAAATTCGCGCATTTGTTGGTGTCCACAGGTGTGCTGGTCATCGCATATCGATGATAGCCATTCAGTTCGATAACAGCACGATCTCATATGTGTGAGCGGTGGCGTACGAAGTGGCTCAAAGGCGGTTCGAAGTCCGTTGACGGGAGGATCCGAGTCGTCTATGAGCGCCGCTCACAGGCAAGCCAGCATGCTACATCGTGAGCCTGTCGAAGCCTTCCGCCCATCCAGGGAAACTCGGATGCGAGCAGTTGATATACACAGACTTCGTATAGGTCTTAGAGGGGCTATAACGCGCTGGCGGTGGGATCGAAGCAGCTTGTATTCGGGGTTCCACATGCTTCTTAGGCTAGACGGCGTCCATCGCCAGGCACAATGTATCACATCCTTATTCGAGATACAAGTAAGCTGTAGCGTGGGTATAGGTCTGAGGGAGCTCTTATGTAGGCGTTAGCGGGGCGCTACCCCGACGAGAGTGAGACGAAGAGCCGAAGTACGCGAGAGAATCATGGCATAGGCCGCTTTGCTTAGAGTATGCCATGGGCAGTATCGTTTGCATTGGTGGATAAGAATCAAGATGCACCGGCAAGTGATCGTGGCAGGACAGAAGCTCATCGGCTTCGTTTTGTTTTCAACAACCAGCCACGTGGTTTCCCGGGCAAACCCGGAGTGCTGCCTGCACGACGGCAATGGCGACCATGAGGCATAGACAAGGCCTGGAGGCTGTCTCAGCAATCAACTGTACTACTCTCGCTCGGACGATAACGCTCTACCGATCTAACTAGTTGTTTGAGATAAGATTCGCGCCATAGGTATGAGAAGCCAGATGCATATGTTTGCGGGTTCACACTGGGTATTCTGCGAGCTTCTGCACGCACCAGCTCTACCATACAGTCAGCAATACCCAGTAGAAGTCGCTGTACTTCTCAAGTTGCTGCTTGGCCGCGACGCGCGAAACCTTCGCAGACCTTCGCCTTCGCGAGTCTCGTCCTCCATACAGACTCCACTTTCACCTTCTTCAAGTCCAATGATCCCCATTCGCTCCGAGTATATTTCACATGCGCAATACGAGCACGGGCGTAGCATTCTCAGTACGCGCGCTGGTGGTGGTAGCGTCCGACGTGCCATCGCCCGACTCTGATTCATGATCATGACTGCACATCGGATATCGGTCCGGGCGTCCGCAAGCCGCTCATACAGCTCCCACTACCAGACCTCCCGAGGCGAGCGTACGGCCCATGGGTGGAGTCATGAGGGGATACGCTACGGTATTATAGTCTGCGCTGGGGATGGTGTCTACCAGTGCCCCAATCAAAAACTACGGAAACAGTAGTACTCATAAGTACAGCGACTATCATCCGATGAGTTCAGCATACAGGGCATCGGTATAGAATTTCCTCTTCAGTCATGAGCTCGCTTCACGATTCGACAGTCCTGCGCCGGTGTGGTGGGGGTTGCAGGCCGAGTCTAAGGCTTCCGAGGTGGCGGTACAAGTCAGTATGTCGGAGAACAGCGTTGACGATCTAAACAACGCATGAGCGAATCAAATAGCACGTGGCGAAACGAAACTCGCACGCCTGTACACCCCTATTCAGGTAGCCCGTACTTATCAGCCTCTGCTAGAACCCCACATCGTTCCCGTTCGCGAGTTCAGTCGCAACAGAGCGCTGTATGTTACATGTAGCACCCACTCGCACGCACATCGAGAGCGATGGGCGTCGCAATCCACCGCGAACGATAGACGTGAACGGGCGATCAAGACGCAGGCCCAGGGATAGGTTCTGTATGCCGAAGTCCGCCGCACGATCTCCTCGGGAAGGCACTACTTTTCACGGCAGAGTTAGAGATCCAAGACAGAGTACGGAGGTGCACCGTCCGTCATAAGTCTTCGTTCTTCGTTGGGGCCTTGCTGACGGGGGTAAGCTCAGTTCATCGTATATCTGAGAGTACGGGCAGGTTCATGATGACTCTCATGCGGCCACAAGGAACTCGATGTGCACTATGCGCAACCTGTGCATCATGTACGCGGCAAGCGAAACCTCGTATTATGATATCTGAGCGTTTGGTTGTGCTCGCAGGCGACAGGAGGCATCAACGGCGGCATAGGCCAGGTGTACACGGCGTAGGACATCGTAAGACCGCATGTACCGGCGACGTGCCACAAAGAGGCAACCGACGCTCAGAAAGGGTATGCGCGCTTCGCCATCGGGTCACTGTGCAGCGCGCGCTTCAAGCCCCCAAATCGTGGCATGCAATGAGCTGGCCCCTGACACAATATCGCGTGAACATGGGAAGCCTTATACATATCACTCATGCAAGTTCTCAAAAGTACAACTGCGCAGAGCAACGGGATTGTGGAATGGCTATGTGGATTGGAAGATGGTGGAAGGAGACAAGGACGGGCGTCCCACGTGTCGCCCGGCGCGTCTCATCGGTGCGCGCGCAGCTGACGCTCAACCACCACCGCGTCGCGCGCACCGGCTCTCCTCGTCCTCCTCCCCGTCCCTCTCTACCTTACTCTACTTCTTCACTATTACACGATGGACGTCTGCGCAGATAAAGCGCTGGAAACGACGGTGCTCCAAACGCTGCACGCGCACGGCTTCTCGCGGGCTTCGTCCTCCGCACACCTAACACTGACCGACCTCCTGGCCCGATACCTCCACCTCCTCGCCTCCACAGCATCAAGACACGCGGAACATGCCGGCCGGACGGTACCGGGAGCGAAAGACGCGCTCGCTGCTTTGGACGAGCTGGGCGGCGGGTTGGAGGAACTGGCGGAGTTTGCGAGGGGAGAGGGGAGGGAGATGGCGCGCTACGTGACCGGCAGGAGCCAGAAGCGGGTCGAGGATCTGCGGGAGATGAACGCCGTGCTCGCGCGAGGCGTCGTGCGGCCCGAGGAGCCCGTGCCGCTGGTGTGGGCGCCGTTGCCGGACGGATATGTGGAGGACGAGGAAGAGGACGAGGAAGAAGATGCCGAGGTGCCGATGGACGTCGACGTGCAGCCCTTTGCGGTGTTCACCGGAAATGGGAACGGGAAGGACAAAGCGAGGGAAGAGCCGACGTCGCTCCCGACCCCGCCCTCGCCCTCCCAACGACGCACACCATCACCCCCACCACTACCGCTCTCGCCCGTCTCGAACCCCGCCTCGCCCCGCCCGTCAAAGCGCCAACGACTGCACGCGCACGTGCCGTCGCATCTCCCGCCTTTTCCCTCGTCAGACGATATCCCGCCATTATCGCTCTCCTCTGAACCGCTCCCCGATCTGCACACACAGCACAGGAGAGACAGGGACAGAGATAGAGAAGAACGTTCGCGCAGAGAACGAAGTCAGACGCCGCCGCCACCGCGACATGCGAGTGCGGCTCCAGCAGATTATACCGCGCCTGTGCCATACGCCGAATCAACACTGGGTGGTCTACCAGAATACCACCTCCCAGGCCCGCCACCCTTGCCACTACTATCATCTTCAACCTCTTCCTCAGCCATTGCGGCTATACCGGCGATACAGCCGAGTCTACTGGCGGCATATCACCATGTCCTCACCCACCCCGCACCCGCAGAACCGTTGCCAGCGCCCAGCCCAGCAGCCCGACATCGCGTCGCAATGAAGCTCGTCGAGATAGCCTCAAAAGGCCACAGATGGGACGCGCCCGCAACGCTCTTCGCCTCGCCCCAGCCCAACTTCCCCATGGTATCCGCCCCCGCCCCTTCTTACCCCGTTCCTATGGAGGAGCTTGATAAAGCCGGGAAGGTCAAGACGGAAGATGGAGGGGAGGACGGGAAGGGGAAGAAGGAGAATGGGAAGGAGAAGGCCAAGTTGCCGCATGGGCGGCCGAGGGATGTGGGCGGGCCGCCGTTGGGCGTCGTTGGGCTTGTGGGGAGGCAGGAGAGCCGGGTGCCGGAGCTGGCGAGGGAAGCGCTCAGCGTACGTCTTTTCTCATACCACATTTATCTTTTCCATTCTCGAATATCTCTACACTTTCTTTTCTTTTTTTCTCTGATTTTGTTGTCTACATCTGCCTCAACGCGAGCGTAACTGACTATCTGTGCGGTGTGCAGGACACAGTCAAGATGCGCACAATGTGGCTCGCGCACCCCGGGCCCCTCAAACGCGCCTCGGACGGCCAAGAACTAACCTACGGCCCCGGCATACCAGCCATGTGGAACGCCCCGCCCTTACCGCCACCCACAAAGGTTCGTCTTTTCTCCCCGTCCTTACTGCCCACCCCACCCTTCCCCACTTCTCACACCCTTCTCATCACTCCGTCAATTAACGAGATGCTGATGCGATACACGCGAACAGACAGACCCCGCCTCGACCCTGCGCGGCACCGACAAAGAAAAGCGCGCGGAGCGCGAACGCGCGAACCGGGCGCTCGCGGACGCGAGGGTGTTCGCGACGTGGGAGTACGAGGTCAAGAGCCCGCGCGAGGCGGTCAACCTGGCGAGGAAGGGCAAGGGCGCGACTGTTGGCGGGAGGGCGAAGGTGAATGGGAACGGGAATGGGAGTGGGGGGATTATCGCGAGTGGGAGTGGTGGGTTTGGTGGAGGAGGTGGGTTTGGAGGAGGGTTTGGAGGGGGAGGGGTGAACGGTGTGAACGGCGCGGTGAACGGGTTCGCGAGCGGGAGCGGGGCGGGGTAGAGCCCTCTAACCGAACAATATTCACTATTGCTTCTACTTCTACTGAATCGTCTTCGCTGCCTGCTGCTGTTCTACCTCCTCTTGTGCACTCCGAGTCCTCTGTTTACCTGCCCCGATCCATCCTGTCTCGTCTGTCCGTGTTTTACATACTTGCTGATGAATGGTCTATTTGTCTCTTTGTATACCGTAGGGTGCGAGATGTGAGGTAGTTGGAGAGCCAGAGGAGATACTCGCCCGTCTTGTGGCGAGCGCGAGGGCCTGCCGTTGAATAAATGACGGGCAGAGCGGTTTCGAGCCGACGGCAATTGTTGGCGTTCGGGCCGAGTGCCGATGTCGACGAGAGGCGCGCGCGGAGCGGGCGGGCATCCTGGGAGCTACCACGACCAATGCTAAACCGAGACCGACAAACATGTTCGTTCGACGACACTTGATTGAATCCATCGATGAGCCAGACGATCCATCGAGCGTGAGCTGCGCGCGCGCGAGCCTCAGGACCAAGCGATGCGCGGGAGGCTCGGATGGCCGACCCCTTCCCCTTGCACCATCCCTCACGACGTGCATGTAGAGTTGTTCAACAATCCGCTGTTCGGTTCAACTATACTGCTTCAGATGCGGTTCGCTGAATACAACACTATAAACACGCAACGGCCGCAAACATACATACATACATCAAGGGGAAGGCAGCATAGTAGACGTGAACGAGAACTCTAAACGGTGTTCTGTCCGTGGCCTCGACCTCCCGTCTGTTGTCATCTCCTCTATCATCTCTGCCGCTCGCCTACCCGTCCGAGTCTCGCTCCGATGCTCTGGAAGATGACCGGCTGAGTCTACCAGGGCTCGACGCTCTGGAAGACGTGCGCGTGAGCGACCACGTCTCGGGATCGCTGTGCGTGCTCGAAGAATGAATACTGACTTCTTCCCATGCAAGTGCCGGTCCTGTTTCCACCTGTGCCTCGATAGGAACATGAGAGCGTGCAATTACTGCCTGTATTCTCTCGTCAAGACTGCCGCCGCGATCATCTCTTGGATGGTCCGTCGCATTGTCCCTGGCGTAATGCCTCTCAAGTTCAACCGCGACTAGCATTGAGTCAAGAATGTCACAAAAAACAGCAGACTGCGAAGCCGTGTCTGACTCGGGAGGGTCCGGATAAGTGTTCTTCAAGGCTTCAAGCTCTATCCGTACGTCTCTGAGCTTCCAGGAGTGATTTGCTCGATCAAAGCAGAGCAGTGCTCTGCGCAGGCAGGCTTCCGCACGTCCGAATTCGCTGTGAGACTTATATAGCAACCCCAGATGCAAATAGGCATGTCCCTCGCCAATGCTATAGGAAATCTTTGAAGAGACCTGCAGCGCGTTTGTGAAAGCAGTTGCGGCATCGTGTTCCTTTCGCTGGGAAAGGTATACTTGTCCGAGCCTGTTCAGTGTCTTTGCTTCGCCATGTTGATCGCGCGTTGCGAGGTTGAGGCTGAGAGACTGTTTAAGGGCATGCTCTGCATCTTCAAGGCGTCCGACTAGATGGTAAAGTGTTCCCTGAGCCTGCAGGCTGTGTGCCTCGCCGGCGCGATCCTTCAGATCAAGAAAAAGTTCAAGAGAAAGCTCCAACATGCGTCCTGCTTCCTCAAAACTGCCATCCGCAGTAAGAAGACTGCCCAAAGTTCGTAAAGCGATGGCCTCGCCGCGTGCATCGCCGATGTAGCGGTACCGCTCAAGGGCGGTGCTAAGTGCTTGTTTGGCTTCCGGCAGCTGGTGCTGGCGTAAGTACAATTCACCGATGCTCTGCTCGATATTGGCCATACCGAGAACGTCGTTGTTCTCGCGACGCATGGACAAAGCCGCATGAAACACATCCTGGGCTTTGTCGCTGCGTCCAGACTGAGCGTACAGGCGACCGAGTCTTTCACGAGCACTGGCCATGCCCATCATGCTCTTTATCTCTGAGTATAGAGAGAGTGCACCCTCCGCGTAACGCTCGGCATCCGTCGATGAGCCCTGACGCTGATACACATCGCTCATGGCGATCAAGCAATCTGCCTGCCCATCCAGATGTTTGAGTTTACGGTACTGGTCGAGAGATAGTTCAAAGGCATCCAATGCGGCGTCCGTCATGAAGGTGTCGTATAACGATAGGCCATACGCCACCCGAAGAGCAGCTGCAATGGCAGGATCCTCTTTGTATGCGGCTGAGTGAGCACGATCGATCGCTTGCTTAAGCAAGGCCGTATCGTAATAGCCCACCGTACGAGCAAGATGAACAAAGTGGTAAACGACTTCCAGGACATCATGATCAAGCATATAATTGAGACGTATTCGCAGAACTTCGGATATGTTCCCCAGTTCGGGTTGAACATGCTGAATCACATATTCCTTCTCTCTCTTGTAATTCGTTGATTCATACTCGAGTAGTCCGTGATAAACACCATACAAGCGTGCCAACGAAGTGTTCGAGAGAGGCATATGTTTCCGTACACAATGACGTACAGGAGACAAGACCTTTAGATATCCATCACTAGACAATGTCGCTAGTGAAAGCTGTTTGAGAAGCGTGATGGAAGCAAGAATGTCGGGTAGATCGTCTGAAAAAGCTTCCACGATACCCTGAACGCGATCATTGGGTAAGCCTTGAGGAAGTGTGCAAAGAATACTGAAGAACTCTAGCGCGCCAGAGCCAGGCTCTCGTAAGCGAGGATTGCTCAGGGACGTGCTTACAGAGACGTGAACGCTTGACAGGCGATCTCCCGATCCGTGCATGTGCAAGAGACCGATCTTCTCCCATTGCCAGCGTTGCAAAAGCCTCTGAGAGGTTTCGCTCACTGCGTGATGTGCGAGTAAACCAATAGCAAGGGGTAGATAGTCCACATCGTGCATTAGCTCCAACGCATAATCATCGTGGAAGCCGCAGATTTCATCCCATGTCGCGATCGCTGCCTCGAGAGGCAGAGGCTGGATCGGCGGAAGGAAAGGTTGCGTCCAAGAGATGCGAGAGGGACGCTCAGTGCCCCGCTTAGTGATGAGTAACACCAGATTTCGTAATGCCGTTATCCTGCGCAGAAGCGATTCTGTGGCCTGCAAGTCGGCATCCCAAGGCGTTTCCATGTTGTCTAGGCATAGAACTGCACCGGGCATAGACTCCAAGTAGAATATGAGGCGATCCTCTGGAGAAACGGTGCCATTGCCATCCTGCTCTACATGGAATTCTCTCAAGAGCCGCTGCACGATTCCATCTGCCGAGTGAATAGCTTCGCATGAGACGAAATAACGTTGGTCTCCGTATCGGTCTTTGATGAAAGGGGAATGTAGAACAGCCAATGAGACTGTGGTCTTTCCGATGCCACCAGGACCCAGAATAGCCACTCGAGCGGGCTCGTGGTGCAGAATGATGTCCAAAACATGTTTGATCTCGCCCTCGCGTCCATGACATATCTCGGGAGCGGGAGGCAAAGAGGACAGAGTAAACGTTGTGGGATGCGCGACGTGCGCTTGGCGGGAGTTGTGCGTCAGAGGAGGTGGTGGACCCTGAGTTCATACACTTTGTCGTAAGAACTTCATAGAATAAGTTTCATGGTGAGTACGTACTGATTTCTGCCGCAACTCGTCTAGGATCGGAGCCATCGCGTGAATCATCCGAGACTGGTCAATCTGCAGCTTTATCTGTGAGGCGCACAGTCAGTTTGGGAGAGACTGGACGTTGACGGAAGGACTGTACGTTGAACAGCGTGAGAGCACGGGACAAGTCTTCGCGGCATTTGTTTACTCGCTTCACCAGTTCGCCACGGTTCACGATCTTCCCCAAACGGAACTTGAACTTCTCGTATCGCCCTCCTTGTCGGGAAGCCATGCATGCGTCCAGAGTCTCTAAAGTCATCAAGATACACCTGATTATCTTAGAGGTAGCAGGAGGATAGCCGGATCCCTACTCACTTCTCGAGGTTGTCGAATGGTTCTTTCAGAACCGGCGGTAACGGAGCGCATCTTTCGGCATCGATCGTAGTTTCACACTGGCGGTGCACCTCGTCTATGACATCCTTGATCTGACGTGCAGCTGCCATAACCGATTTCCAGATAGCATCAAGGGTCTCAAGTTCCTAGTAGGAATATGAGCGTTATTCGAACGAGACATGAATATGGCGGGACGCACATCCTCGACTTTGAGTACTTCTGTAAGGATCTTGGAGACAACGCCCATATAAGGCACGTCCTGAGTCATGGTCGCAATGGTTCCCAAAATGGTGACGGCGGTCTTGATGGACGAATGTACATTCTTCTTGAGGCCATCGCTAATTTCTGTAGATGCGCATGAGTGAATCGGTATGCCGAATTGATAACAAGATGAGATACGCACCGAAGCGGGGAAGACGGCGCACTGGGTTGTCTGTGGCGCTCGACGGCCCTCCTTCAATGACGGGCATGTATGATAAGTCCACTAGGTCTTGGTGGTTGCAGAGTGAGAAGCGACGACCGCACAAGGGACGCGAGAGCGTCGACGAAGTAGGAGCTCAACAACACTGGGCATGCGAGGACGACCATCCAAGGAAAGCTATGCGGTCACACACACACGCACCCGTGACCAGTCATGAACTCCCGAAGGCAACCCGAAGGCGCTCTCAAGTGCGGCGTCAGGCGCGTAGGACAGCCCCGGCGCCTTCGGACTTATAGATGGCTGATCCCGCATCCGCCCTGTTTCCTCTGAGCATACCGGTTTGAAGAACGTGTCTGCATTGTCTAGGCATGGAACTGAGCATCGCCATCATGATGCTGGTTCGGGACACGATACAGAACGGGCGCTTCTTGTCTCGTACGTGACAGTGACCGTAGTGACTGACGCGATCACCGTCTGTTGATCTCGCACTTCAGAACGCACTTGACGCAGCATACCACTTGCGGTGCTGCACTCTTCTGATACATGCACGCGCTGACGATATAGCGTGACACGACAAGTGGTAGTACGTCTCCGTACGGCTGAGTACATCCTACAAATAGCTAACGTATGAGCAGGCCTGGCATATGGAGCGTGTTCGCCCTTCCTTCCTCCCGTCCTCTGCTCTGGCCGGATAGGATTCTCAAAAGCGTAGACATAACCCGATCTTCGTGTATACACGCCATGCGCTCTATGCAGACGATCTCCACTGAACTTCCACGAGCATAAGTTCGTCACCCAAGTGGCGGAATTATAGACCAGCTGCCCGCTAATTGTTCCGGAACCGACACTCGCCTGTGGGAATAGCTGATTGTGCAGTGCGCACCCGCCTTTTGTACCCGCCACAATTCCAACGTGCTCTGTGCGCAAGAAGCTCTATAAGAGTCTCCACCGCACTTGCGCACGGCTGGACCGCGGCAACTTGCCCTCCTCACCTCCCAACTTCGCTCCAGAAGCCCGCTTGCTTTTCCTACCCGCATATCGCCAACCATGCCAACCGCCAACCGCAGACTGAGATCATGCCTGACAGCACCTATGAGAGCGGAGTATGTCGCGCGCTCTCAAGTTGCCCATCATACGTCGCTGATCACGCTTGACCTCCCAGGCGCGCGTTTCGCCGAGTGCTGTCTAGCGCCTTCTTGCGTTTATCCAAAGCGTGTGTCATGTCGCTCTATGTCTTTGAAGAAGCTGATTCAGGATATCTATCGGCCTCTAGGATAGCTCCTGGTGCTCCGTATCGCTCACGCTCGCCGCGATCATCGGCACCACCTTCACCAGGCTCCGCCGCGCCACAGCTGCAGGTCTTAGCTGGATCCAGCGCATCCTCGTATACCACACGCTCGACAGCATCGACATCGGCTCGTCATATTCCTCCAACAATCCATCCCACCTGGCCGTATCCGTCATCATACGGCTCCCAGACAACACCCTTCGCGCCTGTCGATCTGCGCACATGGACGCCACCACCATACCCAGCTCCCTCGATACCCTACGCTCACGAACTTGACGATCCACGTGCCTCGCTTCGTACCCATGGCCCCTACGCGTTACATACCCTTGGTCAACCACACGCGCCTACATTCGCGGCCGCTCACGATGCCCCTCCTCTCTTACCGCCAACCTACACTTCGCACTCGGACTACGACATGACGCTCCAAGACGCATTCCCAGCCCTTAGCAGTTCATCCCAAGACTCCCTTCAAGACCCGACGACCTTTCGATCACCCGCTTCGACAACAGTAACACCGCAACAACACGCGTTTGCTCTCCAAGCCTTCGTACCCTCGCCGACTCAACGACGACTCCGAGCCCCAACACCGCCAACTATAAGTCCCAGAGTACTGCTGGGTGAGATGGGCGTGGATGTGTTCATCAATCCCGATGAGATCGAGGGACCTCTGGGTGCCACGAGAACGCCGCGAGGTTCTCCGAGGGTGTCTCCGTATGCGAGGCACTCGCCGCAATCAAGGAGGGTCCCCGCGAGGAGAGCGATGTCTTTGCCGGAGAGCACTGGCGGGGAAGACGCAGCTGGATCAGTCGCAGTTCCGCTAAATCAGAGCGATGCATATGGCTCTCCACCGCCCGTGCCCATTCGCGAGACCGTGGATTTGTCAGGCACACCGAGCGGCGAGGAGTTCAACGCGCACTATGAGTTGCAAGAACACGATGTTGCATCCGCGGCATCGACTTGGCTGCGTTCGCCCTTGCGGGAGACATCTGCCTCTGGTGGCGTGACGACCGTCAATGAACCGATGGCGCCTCCCGCCCCACCCACTCGTTCGATTGTTGATCTACCTGATACACCCACCGACAGGCACTTTGAAGTGCAAGAGGAGGCTGAGAGCGTTGGAGATCAAGAGGGCGGCGCATTGCAGTTCATCCCGGTCGACGATGCAGACGGACAAGATGACGACATGTTGGACCAATCACTTATTTCGGTCGGGAGCGACGAGCTCGCCGCGTTCGGAGATAGCACTTCTCTTCACGCACAGGATGGAGTTAACGTTGCTGAGGAAGATGGCTCGTATGCTACGGAAGTACCTGATGCGCAGGATAACTACATCCACGTGGATGACCTGCACGCCTTGGCCGACTCGATTCATATGCCGCTGCCGGAGCACAGTACAGCCGCCGACACCCTTGGTGCTTGTACGTTCACCATCTAGCCATATCCCTCAAGCGCTAACATGATTGTATGACAGTCGGCCACACCGTTGCGGGACTGCAAGACGGTCTCGGAGACGCTTACTATTGTGTCACATCGGTGCAAAGAGACCTTCAACGTCTGCAGGACGGGGGCCTTGATGCTCCCTCACTTCAACAAGCGCTTGGGCCCATCATCTCTCGCCTCAAGAACGCGGCGACGAAGGTCAATGGCCGCCATTCGCACTTGATTCGCGATCCTGCTACCGTGATTGTATAGTTGTAGTAATTGGATATGACTATGTAGGTTGTATAGATGCACAGTGCTGTAGCAATAGGTACCCTCACGGACTGATCATCTTGGTTATGGATCTCGTCGTCTGCCTATTCTGGTGCATCCTATCGAACGACGTCCGCATTATTGTTTCCTGAGTTGCAATGCCGCGTAACGTATCGATACCGTAATCAAGGCCCACTTCCAAGGCCCAGTCTACGATCTAAGGTGAGATGGTACCAAGCGATGACGATTGCCAGACGCACTGATGATGATCTTGCGTTCATTGGACGCATTCAAATACCAACCAGCTAGGGCGCTAGGATGCAGCTCTTGATATCGGCCCGTTTGCTTTCGATCCCACCACGCAATCGACCTCACTACGACAGACTCAGCTTACAGATCCATGAGCATCACCACACCAATACTCACAGATCGCCTTTTGTACCCTGTCTCTGACGGAGAGATACTCTCCTACAAATTGGTCGGGCGATAGAAGCACGCGCGGGCCTCCAATAGGTGGCCAACCGGCATCACGCCGACTGAAGTAGAGATGCCTTCGCCGGTCTGTGTCGTTGTTGAAGTAGCAAGTCAGATGATGATGAACGATGTAGTCTGCGATCGAATCATCAATAATGCTTCAGGAGCTAGGTTGCATATCCAACGTACCAAGAGCGATCTTGAGATCTTGGGGTGCTGAATCGTACGCGCTTTGGATGTTGTTACGCGGGATATGATCCCAAGGTCGACCGGTTCCCGAAACTTCCCATGCGGTGATGGTGTTCACTAGGAAAGACATCAGTGTTGTAACAAGGGGAGATCGCCACTGTGGCGTACATAGTGCCCAACGGACGTCTTCGTGCGCCGCCTCGAACTTCATCTGGAAGTCCCAGCTGCGTGACATCTGGCCCAGCTGAGGCGGTGGCGGAGCAAAAGACGAGTTCTCATAGGAGTAAGGAGGGGGAGAGATGAAATTGGCGTGATGCATAGTTTAGGTGATGAGACGGGTATCACAAGAAAGCGGTATGGGGCCGACCAGCGACTTGATGAGCGGACTTGAAGACTTGCTTGAAGGGTCCCATATCCGACTGAATGCACATATACGGCGTCGACAACAAGATCGTCCATAATGGGAAAACAAGCGCAGACGAGACGCGCTTGAGTGTACAGCTGAGTACAAAGGGAGCACCATGTTGAGAAGACCCATTCGTAACCTGCCTAAAGAGGAAGAAGGGTTTTATGTGCAGCGAGACTCCAGAGAACCCCGCATACCATGATGGCATAAGAAATCAGGGCTCGCAGCTCATATAGTATGCGATTGTTAGTCTTCGGCCACCACGCAACGCCATGATGGCGGGAGGCAAGGTTGCGTGCAACCACTGAACCAGCACACGACACGGACCCATAAGACAGTGACGGGCGTGACTGATGCGCCCTCAATGCATCAGTCTTCCTTGACCGTGTAACCCGAGGACGCTCACCACTTGCGACGACAGCCCTCCTGATACGCACACATCATACGGTCAAGACAATGGCGTGTACACATAGCATAGGACTAGTATGTGAGTTTGCACGAAGATGAACGCCCCGAATTTGCTAACTCTCGAGCACAGCTACCGGGTACGCTCGTATCGCACTAGTCGAAGGTCGAGCCGGACGTGGATGCAACCCTTACCGCCTGTACATACCCTACATGCAATCCATGACCTACTTACAAGCTGCTATCGGGTGCTGCATGCCTGGACGTCAGCTTGTCGGAAGTTCGTACTGAGCAAGTAAAAGTCAACCGCTTATTGTGATCGGACCGACCGCCTTCCGTCAACCTTCCGCCTGGGAGTTCTCTCTATTGTGTGCGGCGTGCAGTGCGGACTCGAACGCCCTCGCTTTTTGTACCCGCACGACGACAAGGACGGCCGCTGGACTGATCCTGAAGACCTTCGAGAGCGCTATAAGACTGTGTCTAACTTGGCTTTACCCGTACCCACACCTTGACTACATCGCTCCAGAAGCGCCGTTGCCTCGTCCATCATGCCTGCCGTCCGCAGATGGCGATCATATCTGCCGAGACCTCTCAGACTGGGGTGCGTTATGTTCCTTCGGCTTCGTGTTGCGTACTGAACATGTCTCCAGATCTCCAATCCGCCGCGCTGCGTCGGGCACATTGCTGTATCTGGCTAGAGTGTATGTGGCGTTCCTTTCCCTTCTCTTGAACCTCGCTGATCAACTCTACGGCCTTCTAGAATAGATCCGAGCATCTCACAGCGACGAACTTCGACACAACCGCCTATTCCACTCTCGCCGGAACCTGCGCCACACAACTCCCTCGGGGACAGCGCGTCGTCACATATCGCCACGACCCAGCCGTCGACAGGGGTCGCCCCTTCGTCTGCAGATGCTCCCAGCTCATCTCATGAGCAATCGTTGCACGTCGTACCCGCGGCTCTGGGGGACCCACACTTGCAGATGCCTTCACCTCCGCCATCACCTCCACCCGCCACCGTGCACTATGATACCAACACCGGGACCCCTCCCATGCCCGATGCCACCTATTCGGCGTATGCGGAGAGTCTGCCGCCGTCGGCCCCAGCATCTCCAGCCCACAATGCGACCTATACCCCGCCCGTGCACCCACCACTCAACTATGACATGACGCCCCAAGGCGCACCCGCCGTCTTGGCCAGTCCTCCGCAGGAACCCCTCGCGCATCCTATGGAGTTCCAACCGCCAGCCTCCGTGACGGTGACGCCTCAACATCACGGTTTCGTTCTTCAAGCCTTCGTGCCCTCGCCGATTCAGCGGCAGCTCAGAGCCGCAACACCGCCCACTATCAGCCCTAGAGTTGTCTTGGGTCACATGGGTGTAGGAGTCTTTTTCAACCCGGATGAACTGGTCGAAGGGCAATCGCCCGTGTTGGGAGTTATGAGAACGCCGCGTGCTTCACCGAGGGCTTCTCCGTACGATAGAGCTACGCTACAGAGGAGCACGAGGAGGACAACGTCGATGCCGGATCTGTTCGGGGGGAATGCGGTGGCGTCTAGTTCGAGGATCGGTCCATCGGGGAACGACGATCGTGATGGCATGGAGATCGACGCGCAAGACCCTCGTGACATTGCGCCCCGCGCGCCTATGGTCGGTCCCTCCATTGCGCCCGAGGACGACTCGTTAGACTCGCAGTATAATGCACCAAGGGACAACGCCCCGCCGATCGCGTCTACTTCGCGTCTCTCGCCGGTACCGCCCGCGTCAGAGAACAACGAGACTCCCGATAACGTTCAGGTTATGGCCGCGGTTGAGCCTCGTACCCCGCCCTCTGCGCCTCCAACTATGCGATGGCACGCGCGCGACTTACCTCCGACGCCGACCATTAGACACCTCGATGCACAGGCGATTGCTCCATCGGACGCTGCGAATCAGCCGGGTGGCCCACTTGGTCTCATCGCCGGACAAAGAGATGTAATTGGACTCGAAGATGAAGAGATAGCTCATGATGAAGCAGGAGACGAAGTCGAGGTGGAGGTGGAGGCTGCCGAGCAGGCGGATGTTGATGCGCACGACTCTCCTGCCAATGCGCCCGAAGACGACGACTCATTCGACTGGCAAAATGCTTCCCCAAGCAATGATATCCTACCAATCGCCTCTACTTCGCGTCTCTCGCCGGTACCCTCTGCGTCAGAGAACACGGAGATTCCCGATGATGTTCAGGTCATGACGGCTGCGGCCGAACCTGCTACCCCGCCCTCTGCGCCTCCTACTATGCGAAGCCGCGCGGGCGATATACCTCCGATGCCGACCGACCGACACCTCAATGAGCAGGTCCTTGTTACATCGAACGTTGCGGGCCAGCCGGGAGGCCCGCAAGGCCTCGAGACAGGGCATGAGGATGAACAGATGGCCGATGGAGAGAACGTGGATGACGTTTCTGGGCCTGGATCGCCCGTCCAACTGCTGCTTCACGAGTCTGGAATACATGACGCTTACATCAGCACCTTGCACGAGCTTCATGCTCTGGCGGACGGAATGCACATTCCTCAGCCTCAAGATAGTATGGGCGAGGATATTGTTCGACATAGTACGTCATCTTTTCGCAGTCGCCGTCTCATGCATTGACTGAGTCATCTCGCACATTAGTTGCCCATTCCGTATTCCAACTTGAAGACGAGTTGAATGATGCTCTCAATGTTGCGCAGGCTGCTCAGACAGAACTGGAGACCTTGCGGGGCGGTCATGCCGATATCTCATCGATCTACCAGGTCATCGACAGAGTCTACAACGATCTGAAGCGTTCGACAGAGAAGATGGTCGCATCTCGCTCGACTCCCGCGGCCACGAATCTGGCACTCTCGCCGCAGGTATAGATGTTTGAGCTTCTCATACAACTTGTACTATATGTGGTTCTATTGTATCATGGACTGAAATGCCTCAATATCGCTCGAGCTTTCTGCCTCTCCTGGTGTATCCTGTTGAAGGAGGCGCGAGTTTGTGCTTCAATTGTCTGTATATTCTGGAGACGGCCGATGCTCCAGTCCCCGCCTATTTCCAAAAGCCAGTCTTCGAATAGATTTAGTAAATGCACATACAGGAGAGAGATCTGACGCACTAAGCATTATCTTGTATTCATTAGACGCGTGTTGGTACCAGGTATACAACGAGTCGGGGTGAACCTGTTGGAACCTCCCTGTCCGCTTCCGCTCCCATCCCTCAACAGACATTACTGTGGGGTGACATTGAGTAAAAAGATTGAGTATGACAGGCATTGCTACTCACAGACAGCCTTCTGTACCCTTTCTCTCACAGAGGAGAACTCGTGCACAAACTGGTCTGCACTCAACAAGACACGGGGCCCTCCAACAGGCGGCCAACCAGCGTCGCGACGACTGAAGTAGAGATGTCTGCGTCTGTCCGTGTCGTTGTTGAAGTAGCATGTGAGGTTATACTGAGAAATGTAGTCTGAAATTTGGTCAGCCGGTGCGGATTTGAAGGAAAACTGCGTTCCATGCGTACCGAGAGCTAGCTTGAGATCCTGGGGAGCTGCATCGTATGCGTTCTGGATGTTATGCCGGGGTATATGATCCCAAGATTGACCAGTCCCCGTCACTTTCCACGCGGTGATAGTATGCACTGAGACGTGTGTGAGATAGGGGAAACCATCAGTCCGATGTTGCAACGTACAAAGAGCCCAACGAACGTCTTCATGCGCCGCCTCGAACTTCATCTGGAAGTCCCAACTACGCGAGATCTGGCCCGCTTGAGGCGGCGGAGGCGCAAAGGAGGAGTTCTCATAAGAGTAAGGGGGAGGAGACGTAGAGTCGGCGCGAGACATGATCTGAGGTAAGCGTGAGGGAGAACGAGGGTATGAAGTCGACCAGCGACTTGGTGAACAGGCTTGAAGACTTGCTCGAAGCGTCCAATATTCTGACTGGGCGCACATATACGCATGAAGCGACAAGGTCTTCCATAAAGGGAATACAAGCGTCTTCAAGACACACTCGTGCACACAAAGGGAGCGCCACATCGAGCAAGACGTTCTCGGGATACCTGCCTAAACAGGAAGAAGCGCTTTGTGCTCCGTGCGAGTCTAGTTGTCCTCGTATGAAGCATCAGAAAGAGCGAAGGGGGCCGCTCTTCGTACTTCATATCGCTTTACAGTGTATTGGGAAGACTGAGCTCGGCGAATGGCCATGAGGTCAGGAGGCAAGTAACGCTAGCGCCCTTGCGCGTCTACTACGGTCACCGACGTGATTGACGCGCCATCAACGCTCTCACCGAGCGTCACTGACGCACTTCGAACCTGCGTCCATGACGACCTTCCGCTGGAGCTCTTTCCTCACCTATACCATCAATCGGTTGAAAGGCTCGTATAAGGATGTCCTGGTGTGTATCCGCACCTCTCTCTATCATACAGAGGCTGACTGCTGGCATGAGTGTAGTAGGTTAAGGGTCCACAACGGAAATAGTCGCTGCACGCGGTTCCTGTAAATAGGCCACTACATCATATCCGTACCTTCAATTGTGAATATATGTCGATCCTGAAAACAACATGTGCGAACCTGCATCGAAAGAAGGCCGTATAGAGCAATTGCTCGTCAATTGTTCCAGGCCCGACGCCTGGGAGTCTGTAAGCCCGTTTATTGTATGCGCCCGTTCCCGTCCGGCTGTCCCTTTTGTATCCCTACGACGGCTAGTAGCGGTGACAGGCGGTGGTTGCTAGGTTCTCCTGTAGACGAAAGCTCTATAAAAGTCTCCATTGCGGCAATTGACTGGCCACAACCCCACATCGCCGTCCTGCAGTGCTCGCTCCGGTAGCGTCGCTGCTTCCCATCTTCAACCATGCCTGCCGAACGCAGATTGAGATCATGCTTGACCGCACCCATTAGAGCAGAGTGCGTAGCATAGCCCATCACTTCCTCGCTCATGTCACTGACCATGTACTGCCAGACGCGCGTGTCGCCGTGTTCTTTCGGGCGCCCTACTTCGACTATCCAGAGCGTACGTCGTTATACTCGTCTTTCATGCGTAGCTCTCTCAATTTGGTTGGGAATCCAGACTCGCGCCTGGTTCCCCACATCACCCGCGCTCGGTGCGGTCGTCCACCCCGTCCTCTTCAGATTCATCACTTCCCTCGACTCCGGATGGCCCAATACTACACACGATCGCTCTTCCGCCGGATGAAACGGGTGAAGTACACCAGCTACCCACCCAAACCTCAGATCCGCGTACGCGGACACCTACATACATGCCATCTCCCATACTCGCGAACGCGCATCACGCTCGAGGTCCGGCAACTCCGGTACCCATACGAGACGCTACTTCGAGGCAAACATGGACCCCATCTCCGTCGCCTTCAGCATCGACAGCTTCGATCCTCACTCATGACGCCCCATCTCCCTATCCACCTACATACGAGGCTTCTCGTACTCCGACCGGCTCTGAGTTTGGCGACTATGACATGACGCCCCAAGGTGCACCCCGGGTTCTCGCCAGCCCATCCTCTGGCGCTCTTGCTCACGCAACGTCGTCCCGACCGCCCTCCATCACCTTCGCACCCCAACAACACGCCCCTGCTCTCGCTGCATTCGCGCCTTCGCCCACGGCCTTGAATGGTCGTCTACGACCCGTAACACCGCCCGTTGTAAGCCCTCGAGTGGCACTGGGAGAGATGGGCATAGGCGTATTCATCAACCCGGACGAGCTCGAACATACGTCTGATCTGGGCGCCACAAGGACCCCGCGGGCTTCGCCAAGAGTGACGCCGTATGTGAGGTCCTCGTCGCAGAGGAGGCATCCGACGAGGGTGGTCCCTTTACCGCCAACGCCTGGAGATGGGAATGCAGTTGCTTCGGGCTCGAGACTCGCCCCGCTACTCAGAGACGAAGCCGAGGACGCGATGAATGTCGACGAACCTACGGCGCCTGTTGCTGCGTCTAGCGCACCGGCGCGAGCGCCTCCAGGTCTCCCTGATGCGCATAGTGGAACGTTGAATAGTGCGCTGAGGTCACCAACTACACCTCCTGGCGCGCCTGCGCACACGCACATAGGTCTCCCTGGCACGCCATCCGACGGCGAGTCTGAGATACCGGAAGATGCGGTGGATCTCGAGTATCAGCGAGACCGTGGATTACGATTATTCGTGACTGGGAATGACGCGCCTTCGCCCGGCCAATCATTGCCGCGGACGATCGAGACTACCAGCACACCAACGTCCAGTCCGACTGCCGTTCAGTTGAATAGCGTGGCCCAGCAACCCCAGGCTTCTGGCGGGCGCCCTGCATCCCCACTGCCCCCTCAAACTCCCGCAAATGTCATATTGCAATTGCGCGCTCTCGCTAGACTGACTGGCGTTCCTCTACCCGAGGACAGTTCGGCAGAGGAAATCATACTTCTTGGTATGTCTCATGCTCATCATGTTCCCCTCTATATGGAGACTGACTCACCATGTTCAGTGGGAGGTGTAGTGGGACGGCTGCAACGTGAACGAGGCGAAGAAGAAGAGCAGCGCGCCCGCACTCGGAGACAACTCGAGGACCAGATGGAGACTGACATCGTGCAGACTCAACCATCTCTGCGTCTCGCTTTAGGACGCATCCTAAACGATCTCAAGCCTTCTCAAAGTGCAACTCAGGCTATCCAGGGTGCAACTCTTATGGATGTCTTCGCCGCGCAAATGTAGGAGTTTGCGCCAGTACGTATTGATGATTGTAATATAGTGGTATACATGCATGGCATACTATGATTCATCGTCTGAATAACGAGCTCGCATGGCGTCGGGTCTCGTGTATCCTGTCGAACGCTCGCCGTGTTGATTCTTCGTGGCTTGGTATCATGCGGAGGGTCGCAATCCCGTAGTCGGCCCCGCTCTCAAGCATCCAATCTACGGTCAATATGAGCAGATATAGCGAAGGCCAGAAAGAGAGACGACGTACTGAGCAGGATCTTCTTGTCCTCAGAAGCCTGTTCATACTTGAGTCGCAGATGATCCAAGCGAGGCTCTTCGTAGACCTGGGTTCGTCGTTGGTCCCATGTCGCGAAGGTCATCACTACGACGTATCCATTAGATGCGCTGTGTGAAGAGGCGGGTCGGACAACATACGGATTGCTTTCTGAACGGTATTTGCTGAGGCATAGAAGTCCTGCATGAACTGCACTGCCGTTAACAGTTTACGCCCACCCCCTATAGCGGGCCACCCATCATCTCGACGACGAAAATAGTCATGCTGACGTCTATCCATATCGTCACTGAAGTAGGTGGTGACATTATAAAGAACGATGTAGTCTTCAACGGATGGTTAGAACAGTACAGACAATATGATGACATCGCACCTAACGCAATCTTCAAGTCGTTCGGCGCCGCATCATACGCATCCTGCACGTCACTTCTCGGGATGTAGTCCCAAGGAAGTCCTCGACCGTGAACCTTCCAAGCTGTTATGGTGTCCACTGCATTGAATCGTCAGCAGGTGAAATAGGCGTAGGCGTAACGCGTGGCGTACAAATGGCCCATCTGACGTCCTCAGGCGCCGCCTCGAATTTTACCTGAAAGTCCCAGCTACGCGAGATCTCATCTGCACGAGGAGGCGGAGGGGCAAAAGAAGAGTTCTCGTAAGAGTAAGGTGGGGGAGACGTCGAGTCGGCGCGAGACATGGTCTAGGATGTAGGGCTAAACGGGAACGAGAACAAGGGCGGAGAAGTAGTCGACCAGCGACTAATGGGGCAGACCTGCTTGAGGACTCCGGTGTCCAACTGGAGGCACATATACATGGGGAGATACAAGGCCGACCATAACAAGGAACAAGCGTATCTCGCAACGTCTTCGTTTGGGCTTCACGCGGACAAAGGGATTACCACTTCGAGAAAGACGTCGACGTCGCATTCATCGCACTTGCCGAATGAGGAAGAAGCTCTCGACCGCCGTGAGAGGCTAGTACGTCGGGCAGGGAGCCATGCCACTTTCTATCGATAGGTCGCTTGGTAACAAGATGCTCTTAGTAGTTCGTTTGTGCAATGGCAGAAGGGCAAGGGCCCGTGACGGCGGAAGGCAGGGCGCATCGCCGCACTATTCGCACCCACGAAGACCCATATCAATCCACGAATTCCTTCCCGAAGAAGCGCTTTGCTCTCACGCGATTCACACAGTAATAAGATGAAGGTGAAAGTGATATTCCTCTGAGTGTAAAGTAAAATCCAGCAATCCGTAAACAGTCGTAAAAGATCCTAATCATGACACAAGTACTGGGAGCCCAAACATCGAAACTCTTTACCGGAGCGAGATCTGGGTGAACTCCGGGGCACGCTCCTCAATGAGGGCGAAGCGGCGGTCGTTGCTGTTCTTGGTGGTGTTGCCCTCCCCGCGCCAGCCCGAGCGAGCGGAGCCGGAAGCACGGGGTGCCGATGCGGTCGAAGCAGCAGCAGACCTCTCGGGAGCGGCGGTTGCTGATGCGACACCGGCGAGGCTGTAGACGTTCGATGGCACAACGGACGAGGGGAACGCGTTGGCGGACACGCGCGGCTGGCGCTGGGCGTTGGTCTGGGCAGTGCGCTCGATGCCGCAGCGCTTCAGGCACTCATCGACACCGAGAATGACGTTGTCGGGGATGTACTGCTCGAGATCGGCAACCTCCTGGACGCCGAGACCACCGAGGGCGGCGCCAACGATGTCCGGAGGAAGACCGAAGAAGCGTTGAGCGACCTGCTGGACACCAGGGTCCTCGCCGTTGAAGCCTGAGCAAGGTTGTCAGTCCCAGGTTGAGTTGCAGGTAGGGTCTGAACACGTACCGGCGACGAACATGGCCTCTTCACAGCTCGGGTTCATCTCGAAGTGGATGGCACCCTGCGGGAAGACCGTCGCGGTACCGGGGCGGATGTCGATCTCGGCGAAGCGCGCACCGTTCTCAACCAACACACCGCCGCGAAGCGTGGTGTTGATGGAGAAGTTGATCTCGGTAGCGCGGGGGTGGGTGTGGGGCGAGTTCATGCCGCAGGGACCGAGGAAACCGATGGCTGCAGATTCACGTCAGGACATGGAAGTATCGCGACCAGAGAACAGGACGTACTCATGGAGACACCGTTGCCAACAACGGCGGGGAAGTTGGCCGAGGTAGCGGCGACGGTGCGGCCACCGGCTCCGTTGGTAACACCAACCGTGCCATTGGGGTTCACGAAGTCGAAGAGGAACTGATCATCCTCAATGAGAGCGAAACGGTCGACCTCGGTGGGTGCCTCGCGGAGGTTGGCAACAAGCTGGGCCACAGACGATGAAGAGCCGCCCTCCTGAGCGAACGAAGAGCCAGCAAGGGCAAGGAGAGAAACGAAGGCAGCAACGGAGAACATTGTGTCGTGAAAAGAAGTAAAAAGGGTTGGTAGAAGAAGAAAAATAGAGATAAAAAAGAAGAGAAGAAGAGAAAGACACAGACGCCGGAACTCAGAGGAGACCGAAAATGATGAGGATCTGGGACAGAAGGGAGCGAGGTACTTATACGAGCAGCGGGTACCAGCGCATCATACAACCAACAACTCAGAACTCCAATCATCACCGCCCTAGAGCGATGCATCATTCAGTTGCAGATGGGCGGATGCGTTCGGCCTCCAGACATGATCGAACTTGATTGATATCTTCTCATTCGGATGGTTTTCCGCCTGACAACGACAGGCCGTGAGCGAGATGGCCTCGAAGGGTGCAGCACTGGTGTTGTCCGCTCCAGAACCGCCTGTGTTCGCAGACCGTTCGCAGTTGCGGAATGAACTGAGACGGATATCACTACTCGGGGTATCTGGATGGAGAAGAGAGACGCAGTCGAGTCAAACAGCAGGCGTCCTGCGCACAGCATCTGAAGTACGTCCGAAGCGCTGATCCAGTGCTTCGTGTGGCAGAATTGACGCGCGCACGTACAGCCTCATAGCTATAGGCGTAACTCCAGTCGGCGTGTGGCAAAGTAAGCAAGACTCGTTTGTGTAGTGAAACGGCGGCTTGATTGAATTGTATGGGACAGTTGCCGAGTGCGTTCTGTGCTAGCTGGCACATACATGGTGGGGAAGAGTGCGAGACCCATCGGCGCGCACTATCGCCTCGAGGCGTGCGAGCTCACGGGTGCTGCGGCCGACGGCCATTATTCACCCCCTCACCACCACCGCACATGAAGCCGTCCATGGATGAAGCTATACTCGTGTGTCGCATTCCTGAACTATCTTATACGATCTTGGCCAAAAATGTCCTGGTGAACCAGGCACAACAGCAGTGGGCCACCCACGTAGAACCGCGTCTGGCCAGCCTGAACCGCGACAAGATATGGGGGACTGGGACTATGGAACAACGAAAATTGCTGGCTAGCCAATCACTAGATGGCCGAGGTTTTGCTCAAGGCCGTCTCATTCATGAAGCGACAAGCCGATGCATGCAAACCTATCGCCACTCTTCCTCCCGAAATCATCAGTCATATCGTGGGCCTTCTGGCAGACGAACAGCCTCCTGTGTGGACGCTTCATGATTCCACGCCAGTGCAATCGCCGGTGGATCTTGTTTATCGGGTGCAACTCGTCTGTAAGAACTGGCGAGACATGCGCCCACTACGCACGATCTTCCGCTTGCCCGTTCGCAGAAGACACCAAAAGGATCTCCGTCAATCACCATCGGTCTCGATGATGAACCCCATGCTCTCAAGACCTTCTATCTTTCCCATTCCCTAGCTGCACGTCTCCGTGAGCCACGCCTCCTCAGATTGAAGCAGTTAAACATGTTGGAGGTCCTCGAGCTCCTGAGCAAAACGACCACACTTCATGTACTCTTTTGCGTATTTACCTCCCACCCTTCGACTATATGTCATGAACAGCCCATAGCCGATGTCTCATCTTCAACGAGTACATCAAGCACCCCCGAGCTTTCCATGGACAGCCGACCCGTCTGTGATGCCACGCCCGCTCAACTTCTACAGTGCAGTTTATGGATAAGGGATAAGTAACGAAGTAAACGATATATCTACGAGTGAGATCACATCGAACACGCATCAGATAGCAAACAAGTCCGGGTATGCAGAGCAAGGAGTGCCGGAGTCTTAGAGTCTTAAAGACCAACACCGATTGGAGTGCAGCCGAGGGCAACCACACCGCTCTGTCGACAGGACGAAGTCAGGAGGCGATGCTACCACGGCAAGCGGAAAAGAGGATATGACGCACGAAGGTGTTGTTCTCGCAGCACACGGTCTGCTGCTGGCAGCTGTCACCTCCAACACCTACAGCAGATCCATCTATTAGCGTAACGCATCGGCTGAGAAGAAGAGGACTGACCTATAACGTCGATAGGCGTGCAGGTGATGCCAATGGGAATGTTGAGGCCTTGAAGGGTGATGGGGATGAGGTCAAGGAGACCACTGTCGCCGGACGAGCCCAAAGACGACGCCTAACTAACGTTAACATCGTGATGCGACTCCGAGACATCTGAAAGCTCACCGGCTGGACTGATTCGCAGCATTGGAGCGCACCGCTGTTGCAGGTAGGGCTGGGAGTAGTAGTAGTGCCCTGAGGCGCGGCGGCGACGAGGCCGGAGGCAACGAAGGCGACGAGGATAGAGCGAGAGAACATATTCAAAAAGAGAGATCTGAATGAAGAGAGCGGCTACGAGAGAGGGAGTGTGAGGAGCTGGAGATGTGAATGCCGGAACGGCGGGGTTTATATAGGACGCGAGAGAGCCGGTGAAGTTATCCTAGTTCAGACCGTTACACTTAGTGCGAACTCATGTCCGCAGCCGCTTTCGACATTCAAGCAAGCGAAGCAAGCAACCTGAAACGTCGATGAGCGGCTGGCATGAACGGACACGATCTCTGCGAGCGATTCGCGGCATGCACTGACAACGTCGCAAAGAATGTCGACGACGGACAGCAGTGACACTGTGCAATCTTGTCCAGAGAAACGATGCTAGGTAGCATCCGGCTTCAGTCATGTAGCGACAGAGACTACGATGACGAATGGGATTCCCGGTGAGCGTGACGTGCGGCGATGCTGACAGTAGAAAGCACAGAGGCTGTCAACGTCGACTTGACGAGCAGCCAAGCACCGCGCGACACATCCGAGCATACGTGCCAAGCTAGATGCCCATCATCCCCGCATACCCGTCGAGGTATGCGAAGGACTCTTGACTCTAACATGCATGAACGAGCATTAGGCATGGCAGAAAGCGCGCGAGCCGGACACGGAATCGCCTTTCGAGTAGGTCAGACGTTCAATAGGCTTTCTGGTGGCTGGAGGACATTCAAGCGGCGACATTCCATCGCTTCTGCTCGGGTCGAGTTTCTATATGAAGCAGGACAGCGATTGACATTGTACTAGGCGTTCCTACCCTCGGCGGCGACTCGTGGTGGTGGTCAGAAAGCAAGGCGCGGAGCTGAGTTGCGGACCACACGGCCCGCTGCCGTTCGCACGCTCATCTCCGTATTCTCCCCTTCACATGGCTTGTCCCCACTCTCCACTCTCCACCCGATTGCATGATTCATCCTAGTAAACCTCTTGACGCCGTGCTGATCAGGTCGCGGTCCTCGCACCAGCTGCCTCGCTATCATTGAGAGCGCGATCTTCTTCGAATCTGCGATGCTCAAAGCATGAGCAAGATATGCGTTGCCATGACACGGGGTATACGCGCACCCAGCGTCAACGCGCATATCTGGAGGTGCACTCTCGGGATCGGGCTGAGCAGTCCCGCTGGTGGTGATCGCACCTTCGCTGTGAGCCGCTTGAGCTTCCGTGTCATGCTGAGCGCAAATGGCCGACGTCGGTTCCGTTCTGACGAGCAGGTTCAGCTTCAACCCGTACATGCGCTGAGACGACTGTCAGCAGACGTACCCTATTCCCGTATCAACTGAGATCTGCGGAGTACGACGCACGAATCTTATCGTCCCGGTCGTCAGATGCATGTCCTGATCACAATTCGGGATCGGGTTCCAGCCGAATCGGCGGGCCATTGTGTGGAAAGTACGGCGATACGATGCGCGCGCCTCGTACGTAAGGCCGAAAAGACCGAAGATAACAAACGCGAGTACAGGAGCCGACCAGTATTGAAAGTACGCTTGAGTCAAGGAATGCTGTTGTCGGAGGTCGTCGTAGGACCCGCTTACTGGGCCCCAACCCGAATGAACAAAGACCCATCCTTGGTAGAACGGTTCGGACGACCCCCGTCTCTGTTGACAGCCCCAGAGGATGGTAAGAGCAAGATTTGTAGCGTTCACGGGGATTGTGACGAGAACATCCACGCTGGCGAGAGCAAGGGCGCGAAGATAGCTTCGGCGGGGTACCGAGTTGTTGCTACTGAAGAAGTGGTTGAGGTTCCTGCTATGGAAATAGAATGTCCAAGCTATCCTGGCTAAGAGGACGACGAGATGAGCGTTATCCACGATGATAAAGCCGTTATAACATACGATAGTATATGGTGACTGACAGAAGAGGTATGAGAGGGCCCCACATCATTACCAGCAATATACCAAGAACATCCAACGCTACGGCCTCTTGGCAGCCGAAGCACTCGCTTATTTGGAAGCGTTCACCCTGGACAACGTAATCTGGTTATGATCAACAATCGCTCTTCCACTTCAATAAGTTGGAACCATAAGCTCACACAAAGGTCCTGCCACCACGAGTGGGAAGACAAAGCCCACCGTCCACTCCACGAACCGACTTTTGCGCCTCTAATATCGAAGGTGCGTTAGCTCGACGAGTCATGTGGAGGATGGCCTGGCAGATACCGCTTCTTTGTCGAGAGGTTCTATCACCCGAAGGCTGGCAATTGAAGAGAGACGACGAATAATGATGAATGTTGCTGCCGGTTCGCCGACGAAGGATGCAAGATGGAGACGAGAGGCTGAAATGAAGGTCACTCAATGAAACCCGTGCGACGGCAGGCGAGTAACGACTAACCAATGTCACAGTAGATGTACAGCTTGAGCTCGAAGTTATCCGCCCAAACGATGGTATTGATTGCGTAGATGACGTTGTCGACCATGATCCAGAAGCAGAGGAAGGCGACGCCATTGTTCCATTTCTGCCGCACGAAGCCGTTCAGTAACATACAAAGCATCAAGACCGATGCCAGGATGCACATGAGAGGCAGAAAAGGATAGGTGGGGTCAGCTGCAGCCATCGTTGCTAGGTAAGATTGTGACGAGTACGGTACGATGTTTATATGTGTATCTCCGAGGGACAGAGAGTCGACTTGAGCACGCGTACATGAAACTGTTGTTGTATGCGTTCGGCCTCCAGCGATTAGGCAGAATGTATCCTCAGCAAGCCGATAAACACATGCGAGCGATGATGATATGTTATCGAGTCAAAGACCTTGCTCTGAAGACTTGAGTATGGAGCGAAGCGTAAATCTGCGGGAGAAGGTGATACGCGTCCTCATCGGATATGAGGTCACATAGGCGCTGCATACATAGACACATCTTGATAGTGGTTTGCAGCACGCATGCAGACGGAATTGTACTTCCGAGTTCACTCAAATGGCTGGTAAGACAAGACGCAGACGACGTTTCGTAGCCACATGTCTGGGTATGCCCTTCCTCCGATCACGCATCGTCCAACTGCAAGGGAGGACGCTCGTTGTCTTGTGTATTGGACAATGCGGTGCATACGATGGAAGTACAAGGTATCCATGAGACGTATGCAAGCAACGGTTGGCAAACAAGGGAAGCATCCACAGAGAGAGGCGTGATGGAGGCAAGAAGCAAGCCCTTCACGCCGAAAAATCCGAGACGGAAAATGAAGCCGGCAAGTGCCGAGAGACGCGTCGACCATAGGCGCGTGCCAGCTGCTCGTCCACCGCATCCTCACCCTCCACCCCCATCACCCGTCCCCGAATGTCCCAATACAAATCGGCGGCCTACCGCAAGGCGGCGCGCGCTCCCGAGCCGGCGGCAGGCGGCAAGTTCTCGCAACAGATCAGCACCCTCCAGGAGCTCTTCCCTTCCTGGTCCCGCGACGGTGCGTCACGCGCCCGGCCGATGTACTTGTTCACCAGGCTGATCTTGCACTGTAGACCTCGACAGTGTGCTCTCGGAGGTACACGGCGACGTTGAGTCCGCTGCGCTCCGCATCGGCGAAGGTATGCCCGTCCCCTTTCCCTATGTTGGCAATGTCGCCACTCCCCTATGATCCCATCCATCTTCGATAGTTCAATATACCAATATACTGACATTGTTCTGTCCATTTAACAGGCAAGGCAGAGCAATGGGGCTCGGTAAAGTCGAAAAAGGAGAAGCAGCAGGCCAAGCACCAGTCGCAGCCATCGACCAACTCTAACTTCACCTCTGTCCCCGCACGCGGTGGACGCGGCGGCGCGCGTGGCGGCCGCGGCGGACGAGGCGGAGGCCGCGGCGGCAGCTTTGCGGGCCGTGGCGGCGCGGCGCCCCGGGAGACGCCTGTCGCCGGCGCCGCCACGACGAGCGCCACTCCCGCTGCGACTGCGGCAGACAGCACCGAGACCCCCGCCACGGGAGAGGCTGATGGCTGGGGCTCGGCAGCTGCCGAGAAACCAGACGGCGCTGCTGCTACTACCACGAATGGGACCACCGATGCTTGGGGTTCCAACGAGGCCACCCCCGCTACTTGGGCCGACACAGCCGCCCCGGCTACCAAGACGAACGGCGCAGCGCCGACCAAGGAGGAGAAGAAGGCGCCCGCCAAGACGCCTGCGACTAGCAAGATGAGCTGGGCTCAGATCGCACGGTACGTCTTGTCCTTTACTTCTCTTTCCCTCATTCCGTCTGGCGTGTCCTCGGTCGACTCGGGGGCTATGACGACATCGCCTCATTGACGACGAACCGGTTGCTGTGCACTTCCCTCGTCGTTCATCTCTCTTGTTGAAGACTTGTGAACTTCACGGGGTCGTGGGATACAATGGGAGCGCGCTGCCATGTCGAACGGCGGCACGGGGACGGATGGAATTGAGCGCGCGCCACTCGTGTTAGGCGCTAGTCTTGCCAATTCGGGGCGTCGGGACGTTCCAGAACTCCTTCTCCCGCCCTATGGTTTGAACTCTATCGTCGGACCATACGTCGTACCCTGTCATTAACAGTGCGTCGTACGAGCCATTGTATCGTCCGAAAGGGTCACTACCGACGAAGTTTCACTCGCGTATACCGCGAAAGATAATATTATCAAGATCTTATCTCTATCTCGAATCGAATGGATCATGACAGTAGCTGACACTTATCTTACAGGCCCGCCCCGGCTCCGCCGAAGCCTGTCGCTCCTCCTGCAGCCCCGGCCGCACCCTCTGCCCCAGCTCACGCGCCAGAGCCAGTCGTTGATGCTAGCGGTTGGGAAGATCCCGCCACGGTACGCCCCTCTTACTTCGATGCTCACGTCGTTCTGGCTCACTAATATTACCTTTTACAGGTTCAGCCTCAGACTTGGGAAGATGAAGAGCCCGCCGCTGCACAGGCCGCACCCGAGCATGTTCCCGAGAAGGAGAACGCTTGGGGTGAACAATCGGAAGCCATCCCGGCCGCACACGCAGAGCCCGAGCCCGAGCTTCCCACTCCCGCATTCGAGACGGCTCCCCCGCCCGCCGCAGAGCCCGAGCCTACACCCGCTCCGGCACCGGAGCCCGCGCGCGAGCCAACTCCTCCCCCGGCACCCGCACCTGCGAAGGTACACGAGCCTACGCCCGCTGTTGCGTCTGCCGTCCCCAAGAGCGTCGCGGCTCCTGGGCGCCCTCTCAGCGCTGCGCAGAGGCACAGCGCACTGTTCAAGAACCAGGCCGTTGTCCTCCCCGGCGGTCTCGGTGCTACTTCATCCCTCGAGCGCATCGGCATGACCTTCGGCAGCCTGTCTCTCGACGGAGAGGTAGTCTCGCCGCCCACATCTACTCCCGCCGCTGCTCCCGCACCTGTCGCAGCGCCCACACAGCAGGCACCTGTGCCCGTTCCTGAACCCGAGCCCGTCGCGCCTGAGCCGGAACAGAGCTTCCCTCAGCAGACCTACGCTCAGCAGGCGGCACCGCAGGAGACATACGCGCCGCAACAGCCCCAGGCTCAGACCCAGACGCAACAGCAACAGCAGTACGCGTACGCCCAGGCCCAGGGCGGTGCACCTGGTCTCCAGCAGCAGATTCCCTCGACGAGCCCGCACGCGCTCGCCCAGCAGAGCCCTCATAGTCTTCAGCAGCAGACCCAGAGCCTCCCGCAGCAACAGATCCACCAACAACAACCGACACAGTCGCTCCAGCAACCTCAGGCTCTCCAGCAGCCGCAGGGTCTTCCCCAATCCCAGAGCTTGCAGCAACAACCCCAGTCGCTCCAGCAACAGCCGCAGAGTCTCCAACAGCAGGCTCTCCCTTCGCAACAGCAGGCGTACCAGCAAGCCCAGCAGCCCCAGGGTCTCTCGCAGCAGTACGGTTCGTACGGTCAACAACAGCAGCAGTACGCGCAACAGCAGCAGCAGACGCCCGCCCAGCAACAGCAGCAGCCCCAGCAGCAGTACCAGCAGCAGGCGCAGTCTCAACAGGGCCAGTACGGCCAGCAGAGCGCACAGCAGCAGTACGGCGGCGGACAGGGATACGGCCAGCAGCCCCAGGGCCTGCACAACGCTGGCTACGGCGGCGGATACTCCAACGCGCTCGCCGGCCTCGGCGGCCGGGCCAATGATCCGTACTTCAGCACCGCGACGCCGCCCGCGCAGGCCGAGAGCCCGTACGGCGCGTTCGGCGGCGGGTTCAGCGGCAACGCCGGTGCGCTCGAGGGTCCCGGACAGGGATACGGCGAGCAAGTTGCCGGCGGTCGTTCCGGCGGCGCGTTCTACGACAGCTACTCCGGCTACGCGCGCGGCGGCCACAGCGTCGGCGCGGACGACGCGAAGGGTCTCCCCGCGCTCGCCGGCGCAGCCGCGAGCAACAGCCCCGCGACGCCCGCGCAGCAGCAGCACTCGCACACGCACCAGGGCTTCCCGCCCCCGGGCCCGCTCGCGCACCATGCGCCCGGCCCGTACTTCAACCCGTACGCCGCGCAGGCCGGGCCCGGCCAGTTCCCGTACGGCGCGCCGTACAACGCGTACGCGGCCTACGGCGCGATGCCCGGGCCGTACCCGCTCAAACCCGGCCCGAATCCGTACGGTCAGCCCGTCTACGCGCAGCAAGCGGCTACACAGGCGCCCAAGGGCGCCGGCGCGGGCGCGCAGGGCGGGCAGGCGGCGCAGGACTATTACCCCGGCGAAGAGGCGTACGGCGCTGCGGCGCAGGGCGGCGCGGGGCAGGGCAAGTACGGCGGCGCGGCGGGGAAGCAGAGCCCGGAGCATGCGTATAAGCCGTATGCGACGCAGCAGGGGAAGGACTCGCCTGTTGTGGGCAATGCGCAGGCGAGGGGCGTGGGCGTCGGTGTGGGGGGCGGGTACTATGGCGGGCAGCAGCCGCGTGGGGGGCAGTATGCTAGTCAGGAGGGGCAGGGGTATGGGTATGGGTATGGGAATCGGGGCGGGTATTGGCAGTAGATGCCTTGATACCCTGGCTCGATTATCCCTCTTCGCCGTTGTTTATCCTACTCTCGTCTCGTCTCCATCCACCGCTCACTCGCTCGACTGATACTTCGCTTCTTCTTGACCCTGTCCATCTCCCTCTTTCTTTTTCCTTTCTCTAGTTTTTACTGCCTGCTCCGCATCCCGCATCCCCTCTCGGACTCGAAAGCAATAAGTACCTTAGCTCGTGACTCCGCGCCATCCCGTGTTGTTGTTTCGATTCGCTCGTCTCGCTCGCTGCCTCTGTACGATCATGATGTTCAGCGCGGTTTTTTGTGTTTGATTTGGAATGTGAATGTGAATCTGCGTTGATTCGACTTTCCATGAGTTCTGTGTGCAGGGAATGTGAGAGAAATACTCGTCGAGTGAGGTTGTCGGGTCGGTGCGGGCTGCGCGACGCGACGTTCACGCGACGCGGCTTGGTTGTTGACCACCATCATCTCTGCGCTCTAATGCTATTTCTGTCACTCACTACATTGTCCTTAACCCACTTGGTGTGCGAGTCTAGTTATCTGTTTTTCAAGGACGCTATACATACGGCTACCAATAAATGCACGAGTATACACGCGAAACCCACTCGAATACGGCAAACCCGCCGCCTTGAGGGCATCACGTCAACGCTCTTAGTCATGCTGCAGGATGTTGAACTCGCAGGATTCGCGTTGAATTGTATTGAGCATTCAGTTCGGGTGGATTGAAGAACGGGCCACAGTCCGTGTGGCAGAGCGTCTTATGGGCAGAGCTATTACATGATACGTGAGGCTTGTTCCGACGGGCCATCCCAATCACGGAAATTCGTCCTATACAGTGCGTTGATATAAATGGCCGGCTCTGCTTGACCTCATTCTCACCACTCAAAGCTCGCTCTTGTGGTACGCCTAATCTCTTCAACGCACCATGGGCCAGCATTCCTTTCCTCGCTTCGCTGTTCAACAGTGGTCTGCGACCCCCGCGCTGGAGAAACAAGACCTGTCGGGCCAGACTGTGCTCGTAGTCGGCGCCAACGTCGGCTTGGGACTCGAAGCCGCGAAGCATCTTGCTAGGATGGAGCCGGGAAAGCTCGTGCTCGCATGCCGCAGCATTAAAAAGGCGGAGGATGCAGGGAAGGGTATGGCATGATGCCCCTCTATCGTCAGTCACGTGCTGATAGGGTGGACGCTATAGAGATCGAGAAGGCGACTGGCTTCAGTCGCTTAGGAGCATACGCCGTCGACCTGTCAGTCTTTTCGTCCGTCAACGCGTTTGTTGAGGAGTTCGAGAGCAAGGAGGAGCGGCTGGACATCTTGATCTATAATGCTGGGATTGCTACGGCCCAGTACCGGGCCACTGGTGATGGCTTCGAGGAGACGTGCGTTCCATTTCACTCTTTGACAATTGTTTTCGCTCATGTGCTTCCTAGGATCCAAGTTAACGACCTCTCGTGCGCGCTGGTCTGTGTGGGCCTCCTTCCGCTTATGCTCAAGACATCCGATGCCACCGCTTCCGCCTCTCATCGTCCCCGCATCACCGTTGTTTCAAGTGCGGTGCATAACAGAACCAAGCCAACGCCGGAAGAACTCTCTAGCCCCAACTATCTCCTCAAGATCAACGACGCCGAGCACTGCAAACAGCCCGGAGTTATGTGGCTACGGTATCCCCTATCTAAGCGTGAGCCATCCGCAGTTCACTCCCGTGCCACAAAACTGACATGATAACAGTCCTCAACGTCCTATTCGTTCGCGAACTGGCCGCGCGCGTATCGCCTACAAAACTCGTCGTTAATTGCGTGAATCCCGGATACTGTTACTCGGCTTTGCGAAGGAACATCACCTTTGCACTTAGCCTGCGCATGTCTGCCATGGACTTCCTCATCGGAAATACGACTGAGCAAGGCGGAAGGAGGATCGCGTGGGCAGCGGTCGCTTTACGCCACTGCGAGGAGAGAATGCATGGCGCATATACGTCGTACATGGAGATTGCGGAGGAGAGCGACTGGGCAATGTCCGAAGAGGGTTATGCAACTCAGAGACGTATCTGGGTGAGTGAAGTGTCATGTCCTTTCACGGAGTACTGACAGGTCCATAGAATGAAACAGTGGACGAACTCATCAAAGTGTCTCCGAAGTTCCAACAAGCCGTCCAAACCAATCTGCGTAATTGAATTCCGAGTAAACTTGTCATTTCTTCCTCGTTGCGGGCGCGGTACCGACGTACGTATGTCTTATGAACCACAGTGGTGGACCGTGCTTCTTGGTAGACCTACGGAGTTGAGGGGAGAGGGGTCGCGCGACCTAACCTTTGCATTGAGTATCTGACCAATAATTGGATATCTATTGTCGCATGCGCGGTTTCTGATGCTAGTCCACTTCTGGGGCTTGTTTCCTGTCGGTGAGGCTACATGAGTCCCTATGCGAATACGCTAGTCGTGGTCCTCCCGCGCGTCTTGTGTCCTGTTGTACATTCAATCTCTCGACAGCTGAGGCAGGCATGTACTCTAGATAGTAAATATGCACCCGGCTCTGATGTGAGCGGGAAGTCAATTGCTGTATAGTGCATCTGGCGTGTACTATCGTACCATCGCTTGGCAATTGACGTCGTTCCACATGCACGGTCACCCAGATATTCACTCTAGAGGATGGTACGATTCTTATGATTCTCCGGGGAGATGCTGCATAGCTCCCATCTTCTTGATAGCAGTGACAGCAGAGATGCAATGAAACCAGAAGCGATAATCACGATGGCGCTCTCTGTCAAGTCTTGTACTAGCAGCTTGTTTAGGTAGTACTCCCGCGTCGGCGATTGTCACTGGAGACGTTCCCAAGATCTGCAAGTTCCAGCGGAGTAGATCATCGCCGCCTCTCCACCAACAGGGATACTTTGATTGCACTCCTGAGGCAATGACCGTATCACTGTTCTTATATGGCGAATGGCAAGTTATGGTCCTGCACCCTCGACCATCCCTCTTGCTACACACCCTCGCTCCTTTTTCAATCCATGCAGACGAAATCGAATGAATCCATGTCGTTGGATCATCGAGCAAGTATCCTAGCCAGCGCACCTCCCATCCTCAGTAGACCATCACGAGCGGCTGGGCCCGATTCTCATCGACCGCAGAGGATGGACTCTGCAAAGACATCACTGAACGGCGACCGTGAGTCTTACTCATTCAAACCTACCATCAAGGTGGCCGATTAAACTGGCGTAGGTGCGACAGCCGAGGACATATATGCCAAGACATGGTCTTCCCCAACGCATAGTCCCGTGCCTGTCAACCAGAGACTGCTAATCTCCGAGCCCGTGCGCGCACAACATCAGCACTTCGGCGAGCGAACTCAACGGCACTCAAACGAACTCAAACGAACTCACCGCACTCAAAATCGGTTTGAGTTCCTGAGTGCGATGAGTTCGATGAGTTCGAGGGGAGGTGCTGTCCCGCCGGAATTTTTGCATAGACTAGGTATATATGTATGAGTAGAGTACGAATATCAACTTTTGCGCCTACCTTTGACGGTGTATAGCCGTAGAAACGAGGGGAGGCGAAGCCGCCGGAACGCGAGCGGGAGGCGGAGATGAGTGTGGGCGCAACATGATGACTCTTGAGCC